AGGAGGGCCGGCTGCCAGCCCTTCGGATTACTTTCTGTGTTGTCTCTGCGGCCGCACTGGAACGTTTGTCTGTTACCGTGTTCTTGTTACCTGTTTTCGCGCTGGTCTGTGTTACCGTGTTCTTGTTAACTGTGCGCTTGACTGTGTTATTTGTTAACTGTCATAACTGTCTGTGCCTTGGTGTGGACAGGGGACATAATGGGGCAGACGCAAACGATACCCTTGTCTCTTATGCTCTCCCACTTCTCGGATGTTAGGGAAAGAGCTCGTATTCTGAGCATAGACATACAGAGAGAGAGATTCCAAATTTATTGCATATCAGAATGGCCAACCTTTGGCGTGGGATGGCCCCGAGAAGGAACTCTTTAACCTACCTATTATCTCACAGGTTAAGGCCATGATCTTCAGGGACAAACTGGACGGCCACCCTGACCAGGTGCCCTACATCCTGGTCTGGCAGGACATGATCGAGAATTCCCCTCCTTGGCTAAAACCATTTTTACTCCCCAAAGCACACAACTCGGCTGAAGGTAAGGAGAGACTCTGGGTCCACCGCCAGACTCTAGGGGCAGGTCTCCAGGCTGCCAAGCGCAAGCCTACCAATCTGGCTGAGGTATGGTTATGTAAGACAGGGTAAGGACGAGAGTCCTGCAGCCTTCTTAGAGAGAATACTAGGAGAGAAGAGCTTGCAGGACTTATAGTAGCAGAAAGAGTCTATAATAATAAAGTCCAGAAGAGCAACAAACCAAACTAAGTGACCGGCAGACCTGAAACCTAGCCAGGATCCTGCTGGCCACAACCATGGACGACCCACAGGAAAGACAGAGGCACCTCAAGAAGCTGGCTTCAGGCACAGGTAAGGAGGATGGCCCTGGTCCCCGTCTGGAGTGCCCTAAACTGAACAAAAACCAATGTGCTTACTACAAAGAAGAGGGCCACTGGGTGAAAACCATCTTAACAAAAGACCTAAGGCCCCTGCCAAGATCTTGGAGATGGAGCACCTGGACGACTAGGGGAGCCGGGGTTCAGCACCCCTCCCCGAGCCCAGGGTACCTCTCGGAGTGGAGGGGCAACTTGTTGAATTCCTAGTGGACACTGGGGCACATTTTGTTTTATTACAACCCCAAGGGAGATTGGCAAACAAGACTTCATGGGTGCAAGGGGCCATGGGCACCAAACAGTACTCATGGATTACCCGAAGAACTGTGGATCTCAGCATGGGCTGGGTATCCCATTCCTTCATGGTCAGGTTGGGGATTTGCTCACCAAGATGGGGGCACAAATTTGTTTCCACCCCAAAGAGACAAAAATCCTAAACAGGGAGGGGCACCCTATTCAGGTGCTTCTCCTGAGTTTAGAAGAGGGATATGGTCTCCATCAAATGTCCTCAGCCCCAATGACTGACATTGACCGTTGGCTGCGGGAATTTCCCCAGGCGTGGGCAGAAACTGGGGGAATTGGGCTGGCCTGGCACCGACCGCCATATACATAGAACTAAAGCTGGGGGCAGACCCTGTCAGGGTCCGCCAATACCCCATGCCTCTCATAGTGTGTAGGGGAATTACACCCCACATATGGCGACTACTGGACTCGGGCATATTGAGGCCTTGCCAATCAGCATGGAACACTCCCTTGCTGCCAGTTCGGAAACCACACTCTAACGATGACTTGGGTGAGTTCTGTTCTGAGCACCCTCATTTGATATCCTGTTGGAGGCAGAGGAACAGGACACATGCCTGTGAAGCACCAGAGACTTGCTACAAACCATAGCGGCTCTAGGATACCGGGCCTCAGCTAAAAAAGCCCAGATCTGCAGAGCAGAGGACAGCACAGACCGTGACCAAGAAACTGCTGGAAGACATCTCACCGATGTATGGTTTTCCTGTTAAGATTGGATCAGACAATGGCCCAGGATTTGTCTCTAAGGTAACACAGGGAGTGGCACTAGTACTTGGGGCAGATTGGAAATTACATGTGCACATAAGCCCCAGAGCTCAGGACAGGTAGAGAGGATGAGCAGAACATTAAAGGAGACTAAATTAGCCCTGGAGACTGGCGGGGAATGGATGACTCTCCTCCCCTTTGCCCTATATAGGGTGAGGAACTCCCCATATAAGACGGGACTGACTCCCTACGAGGCCATGTTCGGTATTCCTCCACCTATTATCCCCAATTTAGCAGCAGGTCTCCAAGGTGAACAGCCTCTGGCATGTTGGAACGTGGAGAAGGGTTCCATGTGAACAGCAGTTGAACATGGGTCAGTCGGTCCTGAGAGATGGGCGAGCGCCGTTCCAAAGGGACGGGCGTTGGCCTCCTTGCCCTCAGCTGATCGGAAGGGAGTCGGGTTCAGATCCCCGAATCTGGAGTGGCAGAGATGGGCGCCAAGGCGTCCAGTGCGGTAACACAACCGATCCCGGAGAAGCCAGCGGGAGCCCCGGGGAGAGTTCTCTTTCCTTTGTGAAGGGCAGGGCGCCCTGGAATGGGCTCGCCCCAAGAGAGGGGCCGTGCCTTGGAAAGCGTCGCGGTTCTGGCGGCGTCCGGTGAGCTCTCGCTGGCCCTTGAAAATCTGGGGGAGAGGGTGTAAATCTCCCGCCGGGCGGTACCCATATCCAAACCTGAGTGAGGTGCTTGCTGAGTTTGATCACCAACTCCTTTTCTCCCTCCAAATGTTACAACGAACCCATGAGCAGGTGTGGCCTAAGCTGAGGGCCCTCTACGAGACTGGGCCACCCCCGGGCCCCCATCGATACTGGCCAGGTGACTGGGTGTATGTGCGGAGACACCAACACCAGACACTTCAACCTCGCTGGAAGGGACCCTACGTCGTGATCCTGACCACTCCCACCGCTCTCAAGGTCGCTGGATTACTCCCTGGGTCCACTACACCCATACCAGGCCAGCTGCAAGGACTTTGTTAAGACTGTGCCGTTCTCACTTACCCCACTAATGTTGCTTCCCCGTTAGCCATTTAAAAATGTGCACCCAATTCAGCCTTGCTTTTAAAGTCTTTTAGGGGTTAAAAAGATGGGAGCATCTTAACTGTAGAGAGGCTTTTGCAAGCAAGGGGGGCGGTTTATGTGCTACCCCAAATGAGGAGTGTTACTTCTTTACTGACCACTCAGGAATAGTCCGGGAATCTATGGCAAAAATCAGAAAAGGTTTGGCTAGACATAAATGGGAACGAAAACAGCAACAAGGTTGGTTTGAATCCTGGTTTAATCATTCCACCTGGCTCACTCTGAGAGCAACCTGGACCCATGATTGGGTCCTTCCTTAGGTTCCTCTGAGAGGGGGAAATGTGGAGGCCGAGAAAATTTAAGGCCATCCCACCTAAAGTTTAGCATTAGCACATGTACAGCCATTTTAGGTCCCTGTGAATAAGAGCTGAACTTTAAGGAGAAAAACTGCAGAATGTCCTCAATGTCCTCGGCAGGTAATCCCATATCAGAAAGACAACAGAGCTCAGAATTGCCCTCGGCAGAGAATCTCATATCAGAAAGACAACAGAGCCCACGCCCGTGGTAGAAAGTCCCATCTCAGAATTCTTCCATCCCTTCTGGAAATCCCCTAGACCAGCCTATAAAAAACCCAGCTGTAACCCACTTCGGGGTCAAGTCCCTGCTCCGCTGTGTCGGGTATACTTGGACCCAAGCTCGAGCTTGCTAATAAACCCTCGTGTGCTGGCATCGGTGTCGGCTCCTTGGTGGTTTCTCGGATTCGCAATCTTGGGCACAACAGTTTGGGGGAAAAAAGAAAACAAAATCTTGGATGAAGATGGAAAGACGGAACCTAACTTTCATCAGAGAGACTCAACGCTGGTGAGACTGTTAATGCCATTTGTCTTTATAGACAAAGGGATCAATTCTTTAATTCATGATGCTGCCTCAGGGCTGAAGCACCATAACTCCAACAGGCCACAAGCCACTCTTGAGCCAAAAGTAAACAAAACAAAACAAAACAAAAACAAAAGCAAAAACAAAAAACCCACAGGCGCTATTACTCATGGGTTTAGTGATTTTTATTATCCACACCTGCATCTTCCTCTCTTGCTAACTTCCCAGCCAGGACTCATCTGTCTACTCAATGCTGCACGCAGTGGTTGGGAAGAGACAACTCCCAAGCCAGTGAAATCCAAACTTCTTACCATGCCCTATAAGACCCTCTTGGATCTGAGGTCTGCACCTATCTCCGCAACTTCATTGATTTTAATTTTATTTATTTATTCATGAGAGACACAGAGAAGCATAGGCAGAGGGAGAAGCAGGCGGGGAGAGCCTGATGTGGGACTCGATCCCAGGACCTCGGGATTATGGCCTGAGCCAAAAGCAGATGCTCAACCACTGAGCCACCCAGGCGCCCCTACCTTCCCAACTTCCAAATGCCTCCTCCTTGTGTCAGTTTCTTGATTCCTCCAATAAGTCAACCTTGTTCCAGCCCCGGGGACTTTGCCTTTCCTGGTCCTCCAAACTGTCAAATTCCTCCTCCAGAGCTCTCCCGGACCAGTCTGGCTCCCCACGCGCGCGCAGCTCCAGGGTCCTCAGAGAATTTCCTGATTGCCCTGTGGCAAGTCCCCAAGCCACTCGTGCCGGTCATGTTATTGCCAGCAGCACTCCCTGAAATCGTTTTGACACCTTTCCATATAGTTGCTCTTACTGGAGTGGACGCTCCTTGAAGGCACGAATCTTCCTTCAATACGGGCGGGCCAGCCCTACCTGGCGCAGGAATGAAATGAATGAGTAAGTGACTGTAACGAGTGTGCATCTGCGGACTGTCTCCTGGCCTAGACCTAGAAATCGTCTGCCCAGCAAGAGCGCGTGAACAGGCCAGCTGCGTTGGCCTCCCGCGAGTCTCTGGAGTAACCACGACGACCGCAGAACCCCTGCGGGGCCGGGAAGCCCGAAACCCGAGCCCGGCGGAGCCCCGCCGCAGCTCTGGGCGCGGACTGCGGCTGCGCGGAGCGTGAGGCGGGGCGGGGCGGGGCGGGGCGGGGCCTGCGCCGCTCTCCGGAAGTGGGTTGGAGCTGCTGAGAGGGCGCCGGCGGGCGACAGGGCGCGACAGGGCGCGGGAGGGCGCCGGCGGGAGGGGGCCCGCCGACCATGGAGGACGAGCGGAGCTTCTCGGATATCTGCGGCGGCCGCCTGGCCCTGCAGCGCCGCTACTACTCCCCGTCCTGCCGGGAGTTCTGCCTCAGCTGCCCCCGGCTCTCGCTGCGCTCGCTCACCGCTGTCACCTGCGCCGTGTGGCTGGCGGCCTACGGACTCTTCACCCTCTGCGAGGTAAAGGCCGCTCGGCCCCTCCCCGCAGGCGGAGTCGGGGGCGGCGTTCCGAAGGGGCTTTGGCGTCACCGGGTCGAGGCCGGGTCTCTCGTCGGGCCTTCCGGTCGGGGTAGGGTCGGAGGGCGGGAACTGGCTGGCTCTGCTGCCGGGACTGCTGTTCTCTTGACGTTTAGTGACGTTTTGACACCTGGGCTCGGTGCCTCATGTGGGCGTCCATTTAGACCTTGCGCGATAGCCTCAGATTCTGACTTCCAGGTGACCTACGTAGCACGTGCTCACAGGAATTCAGTTCCAGGGGTTCGGAGAACTGTTAAGTGGATCGACCTCATCCGTCGTTCCGAATCTTCAGAGGAGTCGCTGCCAACAGAACCTTTATACGGTCTTAAGGAGAAACCGTCTTTGCCTCCACAACATGAGCTTCATCAGTTCTAACCTGTTTTTCAAGGCAGTCCACCCCCCCCCCCAACTCTACCCCTTCCCCAACTTCAAGTGCTTTCTACTGAATTGTTTTGGTGATGCGTTGTTTCTGGGCTCACCGTTCGGACTCATTCCTATTTTCTGAGCCTCAGCTTTAACATGTTTAAAAGGGAATTGCTGCCTGCCATGCCAGCTTCACAGTATTGAGGGTCACATGTAGTAGCTTTGTGGCAGCCCTCAAATAAAAGGAGTCACCCTAAATGCTTTTCAAGATGAATTTTTTTAAAGACGTTATTTATTCATGAGAGACACACAGAGACAGAGAGGCAGAGACACAGGCAGAGGGAGAAGGGGGCTCCATGCAGGGAGACGGACGTGGGACTCGATCCCGGGTCTACAGGATCACACCCTGGGCTGAAGGCGGCGCTAAACCGCTGAGCCACCCGGGCTGCCCCAAGATGAATTTAGTTTCAGATGTAGTGTCCTGAACTAGGAGTGATCTGACCAGGTCGAGGGCTTTTTCTATATTTTGGGTCTTGTTTCCAGTAATGCATTCATTGGCTCTTTTACCATCAATGTATGGTAATTTGGCATAGATATGTGCAGAATTAAGACTGCCCTAAGTTATGCCAAACTGTATCTAGAAGTTTGTTCAAAAGCCAGTTAATATGGTTAAACTGCCAGGACAGTCCTTCTCCCCCCTCGAAAAAGATTTAATTTATAATGTAGTTGAATTTTAATACTAGCCTGGGTTCTGGCCGTGTTGTCATGTGAGGAGGAGGAGCGAACAGATTATTATATGTCCACTAACTGCCAGCTGCTTTCCTGAATGTCTCATTTTAACCTTAGAAGAAAGCCAAGGCTTAGAGTAATAATTTACCCAAGGTCACAAAGCTAGTAAATGGCATATTTGGGCTTCAGACTCAGGACTGACTCTGAAACCCTTTCCTTTCCACTATACTGTCTCCTCCTTGGGGAGGGCTTACTTAGGTAAAATTTTTAAATAGAAGTTTGTTTTTATGCCAGCTCCTTTTTGTACCCTCTTATCCTGGTATGTCCCACCTGCCTCCATGAAGTGCCCACAACTCAGTAACCTTATCTTCCTTCAAACTCCACTGCAGGGGATCCAGGCTCAGGGGTTTAGCGCCGCCTTCAGCCCAGGGTGTAATCCTGGAGACCCAGATGGAGTCCCACATCCGGCTGGCTCCCTGCATGGAGTCTGCTTCTCCCTCGGCCTGTGCCTGTGTCTCTGCTTCTCTCTCTCTGTGTGTCTCTCATAAATAAACAAACAAACAAATAAATAAATCTTAAAAAAAAAACTCCACTATATTTCTTAAGGGGTCTGTGTATCAGAGTTTATCTTTGTGTTCAAAACTATTTGTCAGAGTAATGACTCTCAGGAGGGAGAAGAAATGAAGGAATTCCCAGAAACATGTGGCTTAATTTCACCCCAAATAAATATTGTTAGAATTTCAGACAGAAAAATGAAGTATAAAGAATGTAGGTAGTAATGAAGTTTTGGGCAAGGATTACCTTATTAAAAAGCTGATAGGGATTAAATCCCCTCACATTTTTTGTACTTCATCCCTTCTTTCCTGCTGGTTTTGAATTCACAATTCTATTAAAAGTGTAGGTTATTACCTGATTTATTGCAATCTGGAATGCTTTACCCCCTTCCTTTTCTCAACTAAGCATATCTATCAATAACCACCAGCTCTTATGTACCAGTGAAATTCTTCCTCCTTGGAAGTCTTCATGGGATATCCTATGTGCTTTGAGGTCTCTTTCTTGCTTTCTCTCATTCTGTTTTAATACTTAGGCACTAATAATTCCATAGTAGTCTCCAAAAAATTTAATTTTTGTATTAATTTTGCCTCTAATACACCTGTAAGGGCTGGGGTTGAATTTTCTCTCTATTCTTCCATGTTTATTCAGTTCAGACTATGAACCAGACACTGTACTAGATACTAGGCATTTAATTAACTTAAAGTAGACATTTTTGGATCATCAGAGACCTAGCCCATAGATTTTTCCATTCTCCATTCATTAATCAATAAGTAATTACCGAGTACAGAGGTCAGCAAACTTTAAAAGGCCAAATAGTAAATATTTTGGGCTTTACAGGTCTCTCACAGTCCTGTTTCTTTTTCTTTTTTTAACAACTCTTTTAAAAGTGTAAAAACGGATGCCTGGGTGGCTCAGTCAGTTGGGCATTTGCTTTTGGCTCAGGTCATGATCCTGGAGTCCCAGGATCAAGCCTTGTGTCAGGCTCCCTGCTCATTGGGGAGTCTGCTTCTCCTCCCTCTGCACCACTTCCCCCGCTTGTGTTCTCTCTCTCTTGCTCTCTTTCTTTCTCTCAAATAAAGAAAATCTTTTTTTTTTTAAGTGTAAAAACCATTCTTAGCTCAGGGTCGACCAGACAAAAACAGATCACAGGCCCAAATAGAGTCCTGATCCAACACTTACTGTATGTTACATAGAATGAAGTAGAAAAGTATTTTCAAAGAAAACCAGAGGCAGTTGGTAGTTTAAAACAGTAAAAACAGATTTTAAAAAAAGATTTTACTTATTTATTTATTCATGAGAGACACATAGAGGCAGATACATAGGCGGAGGGAGAAGTAGGCTCCTTGTGGTGAGCCTGATGCGGGACTTGATCCCAGGACCCCAGGATCATGCTCTGAGTTGAAGGCAGATGCTCAATCACTGAGCCACCCAGATGTCCCAGTAAAAACAGATTTTATTCGGCAAATACTGCAGTAGGAGAAAAGAGACCTCACTGCAGAATTGGGCTCAATTCTGAATACAGCACGGACAAGTTGGAATTCATAGCCAAGGAGCACAGTGGGGATCAGTGGATGGAAAATGGCTAAAAGAAAACATCAGGGGTAAAGGGAGATTCTGGCTAACTTGACATGATTCTTGCTAAAGGCAGGCCAGGGTGATCAGATGCCAAGGGTTCTCTCTAAACGGACTTAGTAGGATTCTTGGCACAACTTGTTGGGCCATGCAGGCCCAATAAGGATGGACACCAAGGTTGAGGGTTTAGAAGAGCTTGATTAGAGTTAGGTCAAAGAGGACATCTTGTCAGTAATAAAGAATAAGATACCTCCTGCCCGCAAGAAATGACAGTCATAAATTACTGAATCTATTTTGTTTCTAGGTCATCAGTTATTTTTTTTTTCCTCTGTGTCATCCTTCTAAATAATAGCTTTTTGCAGGAGAAAAAAAAAATGGCACACAGAAAGAACATACATCAATAGAAAAACACAACTTCAGAAATGTTAAAAGATTGTAAATCTTGGGGATCCCTGGGTGGCGCAGCGGTTTGGCGCCTGCCTTTGGCCCAGGGCACGATCCTGGAGACCCGGGATCGAATCCCACGTCAGGCTCCCGGTGCATGGAGCCTGCTTCTCCCTCTGCCTATGTCTCTGCCTCTCTCTCTCTCTCTGTGACTATCATAAATAAAAATAAAAAAATAAAAATAAATTGAAGATTGTAAATCTTATAATCAAAAGAATAAATACCATTTTTTTGAGTCCTTAAAATGTAAGTTAATTATTTTGGCTACTCAGCCTTAATACATCAGTTAGTCACAACCCAAAATAACTAAAAGAGCACTAAATGACATGATCTTTATTATTTAACAAAAGTCAGGAGGTGGTAGGGCTCAAAAGGGTGTAAGAGACTCAGTTGATCTTGATTCTTTTCATGTTACTGCTGGTGTACTCTAACTGTCCTCAGCCTGGCTTTCTACATGGTCTGGCAGAGGAGTCATAGTTCTATAGTAGTTCCAGGCATCAAAACCTCAAGAGGATCTAGGATCTCTTTCTTCCTAGATCTCTTTTTTAATTTTTTTTTTTTTAGGCAGAGGGAGAAGCAGGCTCCATGCACCGGGAGCCCGACGTGGGATTCGACCCCGGGTCTCCAGGATCGCGCCCTGGGCCAAAGGCAGGCGCCAAACCACTGCGCCACCCAGGGATCCCCCTAGATCTCTTTTTAAGATGCACATCATTTTCCAGAAGCCCCTCCAGGAGACCCTCACACTCACTGACCAGAGTTGTATCATGTAATCATTTCTAAACCAGTCATTGGCAGGAGTGGGAACCAATCATGATTCATTCCGAGTTTTATTAGCAAGAGTGGCTGTTGAGTACCGTCTGCTACATTGTGCTAAGCATTTTATTATTGTACTGTCTGATTTTGCACTGTATATTCTGCTGGTGGAGCAGGAGAGGAAAAGGTCTGAGTCGTTATGAAAGACCTCTGAGAGTGGTGTGATGATAGATACTGTTTCGGTGATTAAAGTTCTCCTATCCATTTGTTGTCTGGATGCTTTCATTATGCTTTCATAGCACTACAGAGTTGAAATAAAAGTGATTTCCTCTTCCATGCATGTTCTTCCCATCTTGTCAACTCATAGTAGAACACAAGCTTTTTTCTGCATTGCCTAGAGTAGACAGTAGACTGGTTAAACAGCGGAGATCTGTGCGGAGGACCACCTGGTAATCTTACTGCCTATGTCTGGCTCTCTCTTCAGAACAGCATGATCCTCTCTGCTGCCATCTTCATCACCCTCTTAGGCCTGCTTGGTTATCTCCATTTTGTCAAGATTGATCAGGAGACATTATTAATCATTGATTCCCTTGGCATCCAGATGACTTCATCCTATGCCTCAGGCAAAGAAAGCACTACCTTCATAGAGATGAGCAAGGTGAAGGATGTGGTTATCAATGAGGCTATTTACATGGTAAGTAGTTAAGTAGTAAGTATTACAGGTTTCTCCAGAAGAGGTAGCCCAGTGGCCTTTGCCTGGATCTGAACTGAGTCTTAATAACTTGATGTCTGTTCACAGAATTAAACTTGAAGACTCTGTTCCAGTATTGTAATGTTTCCTTTTTGGCTAGCATGTCTATAGACCATGAAAATGAAACTTGTATTGGAAAAATAGATTCCTGTATTTTATAGAGATATAGCAGGATTTCACAGATAGTAAGTCAGCATTTCAACTTTATTTTTTAGCCCAGCTTCAAAATCATCTCGTGGTGGTGGTTGTTGCTGCTGACATTTTGTAGTTTTTTTTGCATTTAAAGAATTCTCACTTCAAAAGCAATCAGGTGTTCTACTACTTGATAGTTAGAGATAACCAATGGTTAGAGATCACCATTTACTTTTTTTTTTTTTTTTTAAGATTTTATTTACTTATTCATAGAGACACACAGAGAGAGAGAGAGAGAGAGGCAGAGGCAGAGACACAGGCAGAGGGAGAGGCAGGCTCCATGCAGGGAACCCAAGGTGGGACTCAATCCCAGGTCTCCAGGATCACACCCCGGGCTGCAGGCGGTGCCAAACCGCTGTGCCACTGGGGCTGCCCGAGATAACCATTTATTAAAAGGTCTTTAGCCTTCCCTTGAAGAAAAAGAAAACAAAACGAGTCTCACTTAGATCTCTGCTATTTGGTTTATTTTCTTACAGCAGAAGGTGATTTACTACCTCTGCATTTTATTGAAGGATCCAGTGGAACCACATGGGATATCCCAAGTAGTACCGGTCTTCCAGGTGAGCATAGAACACTTGTCTAGAGCTTCTTCTCCAGAAAACCCGGTACCTTTCCCCATTCTTTGCATATCTACTGCTACTATGTTCAATAGGAATGTAAACTCCTGTTGTTAAGCGTATTTGAGGACACCTGACAGCTATTTTTATTGAGAGTTTTGGATTTTAGTTATTTCAAGTTTCTTTCTGAAGCAAATATAGGCTTTCAGAAATATTATAAATTTATACAGATTTTAAAGAAAAAAATAAATAGCAGTTTCTGCCTATAAGTTACCATTCATCTGCTTTGTTAGTCTGTCAATACAGGGTTTTACATAAATGTCCCTGATCTACACATGCAGTTATACCCAATTTATGTCTTGCTTTTTAAATCTAATATACATATTTTCATTCATCTTCAGAGGCCATTATACTATTTTAAATAGTTCTATTATCATGTTGAGTTTATTTAGCCACTCTACTGCTAGCTTTTGAAATCATCTCCAGGTTAGTTTTTGTCTCGCTCTTAAAAAAATACACAAACACAACTATAAGTATATATTTATGTACATAGTTAACTCTGCCTTACTGCCCTTCCTTTTCTCACAAAGGATTTAAGGCCGCTAAGCTAAAATTCCTTTGCATTATAGTTCAAAGTTATTTTAGTAAAGCTTATGAACAGTGTAATAGATTTTTACAGTTTGAGATTTGGCTCCAGAGATTAGACAACTTTACTGTACTTTTGGGAATTTGTACTTGATTTTCTACAGTCTTGGCTAACCGTGGGTTTAGTTCTTTGTTTCCTTTAGTATGTAGGTAAAGGAATCTAAAGTTATTGAATTGCTCTTTAAATGACAAAAGATTTTTCATGTTTCTTTGAATTATCTATTCCTGTTTCCTCTTGTTTTAAACTATCCATCTCCTTTATTAGTCAAGTAGAATCTAGATATTGATTATGCATTTATAACAACTTACATATTTTGGGTAACAAACTTTTATTAAATATGTTTTCCACATATTTTTTCCCCATTCGGTGACTTTTCTTTTAATTTTGGTTGTATCACATTTCATTGTACAAAATACCTTTCAATATTTACATATTAAATTGCACTTCTCGTCCTTGAGGACGGTTTCACAGCTTGTGACATTTACGAGGGAGTCTGTCCTTGTTATTCCTCTTGCTTTCTTAGCCAGTAAGGTGCTGTTTGGCCTGAACTTCTGCCTCTTCGAGCTCACACCTGAGCCATTTAGACCCCCTGATGTGGTGAGATTGAGGTTACCCATAGAGGCAGCACCATTAAGTGCTCTCTTATGTTCTCTTCTGCTCTCTTATCCTGACTGCATTTCTTGCCTTTGGAATTCAGAGTGCCAAGCCCCGCCTGGACTGCTTGATTGAAGTGTACAGGAGCTGCCAGGAGATCCTGGCGCACCAGAAAGCCACACCAGCAAGTCCTTGAGTCCCAGCATTTCAGAGGCCAGTATTATCTTCCATGGGAGATGACTCCTAAGCCATAGTGGCTGGTTTATTTTCTGTGTTCTAAACCATCAGGCAGACACAGTCCTAGGAACCAGTATGGATGCAGTGGATCTCAGAGCCATACAGCAGGTGCCTGGAAACCTAACTCATTGTGTGATGTTGAGCAAAGTATTTATGTATATTTTAGCGATCTCTTTGTAAGGTTTCGCCTACTTTATCAATTGAGGGAAGATCTTAAGAAACGATATGTCAAAAGTAATGTTGACAAAGAGCACTTTGTGAAATTCCTCAGCATGTTCAGGTTTACTTTTTTGTAGAGATTTGTGGAGCAAGACAATGGGAAACTGACATCAGATCTCTTACAAAACATGATTTCCAACTGCATGGACCCCTGTATAAAAGTCAACCCCTTCACGTACCAGTGAGTAGGAAGACATGGCCTACAAAAGACTGGCCTCTGTCCACCTAGCTCCTGTGTTCTGTACAGGGTGAATTTATGACAACTCTCGTAATAAACCGATCTCTTTCCAAAACACACAATAATTGCACACACAGCTGCTTTTTATTGACCACATGAACATGGCATTTCAGTCATGGGTGTCAGGCACATTAATACTCTACTGTTACTCAGCATTGTCTGTGGTTTCAAAAACTTATTTTGCCAAGAGGGGTGACACCAAAGGCCAGACAGATATTCAACTTTGGTTTCCAGACATGTTAAAGGAGGATAAGCACACAAACAGTAGAAGCTTTTGATTATAAGGCAGTTTTCTTCTGTGTAAAACTAATAAACTGTGGGAGGACCCCTGAGGGGCCAGGAGGGAGCGAGGCAGGGTGGGGGAAGTAGGCTGAGCTCAAGTTCATTGTGAACACAGCTCCGTTCTTGCTTGTTTTGGCCGTGGGATCCTAATTTTTTTTAACTCCCAAGTCGATATTATTCTCATGGCCATAGAGACACTCAGGACATTAGAAAACTAGAGTTGTAATTGCTGCCTTTTCCATCATCCCAGGAGTAGTTATTTGGAGCCTATGGTACATGTGATGTTTGACTTGTTTGAGGTAGAAATGTCTCTGCTAGATCCCAAGGGCCCGGGCAGCAATAGAAATGGGAGATGGCTGTAAAATTTCCAGCCTCGCAAAGCCAAGGTCATTTAAAAGAGGCATTCTCATGTGCTGCTTTTTTTTTTTTTTTTAATCATGCTTGTCAGTTTAAAGAGTGAGGGAGGGGAAGCCTATAGCAGCTGAAGTGTTCAGATAAACTAGTTCCAGCCTTGAAGTTTTTGCAGTGTGCAACACACATACCTACACACATTGTTGAAGTCAGAGGCTTGGTTCTTGAATGCTACTGCTAAACCCATACAGTTTTCAGCACTTTATTGAATGCTAAGACTGCCTTAGAGCTTTGAAATAAAACTCGGTTTCTCCAAGGCCAGAAAATCAGAGTATGAATGAACTCTTTCGTCTTTTTGTTTTCTGTTAGAGGAGGGTAGAGACAAAGTTCATTCCCTCTGCATTCAATACAAGGTCTCAGTTGGGGATGGGGGGTTATAGTTGTATCACCTGGATATTCTTAGAGTAGGACAGAGATCTCCTATGTGCCTTCTGCCCTCTGACTAATTCCCAGCAGAAGTTTGCCAGAAGTCTTGAGGAACAAATCCAGGCCCTGGATTCTGTTTCTGACTCATCTTTGGTGGCCTCACAAAGCAGCAAAAAAAAAACCAAAAAAACAAAACAGTGCATTTGCTTAGTCTTTCAAAGAGCAAGGAAACAAGTGATGACCACCCCATCCTACAGTAGGAAGCACAGCCTTCACTGAGCCCTGTCCAGTCACTAAAATGAGACAGGGAGAAGTCAGGTTGGACTTAACCCCTGCCCTTGCTTGTACCCAGTTGGGCTGACAGTCCAGTGTGAGGGAGAACAGCTTCAGTCTCAGCAGGAATAGTGCCTTTTCCTTGTCCTGCAAAGATAGGAGCTGCTGCTCCAGAGAGGGACTGCAAATGCCTACTCATTTGCAGTGGGGAAGGAAAACATGAATCTCTTCCTTTTTCTCCAGCCCTACCGATACCTTTCCCACCTGGGAATGGAAGTCCAGTTTTAGTGAGTTCTAGGCTTTTGTCACAGTTCAGATGAATTGGAAATTTTAGTCCTATCTTGTTCAGGGATTTTGGGAAAACTTCAAGTATAAATCCCCACGTAAGGACCATATACAGTATAAAAGATACCAGCCTTTCCAAGAGTATCAGTGCAGAAAGCCTTGACTTACAGCACTGATGCCCTCAGTAACCAGTAACAGTGGACCTTCCCAGTCTGTGTCTAGAATTGGGCAGCATCCAGAGCTCAGCATTCTTGTGAAAAAAAAAGTGGTTTCTATACCAGGTCTGGATTTTTGAAAGTTGGGCCCTGAAACATAAGGCACCTAGAGAGTAAAGGCTTCATGGACACTGAAATACACATTTCATAGAACAAACAGGGTTGGGTTGGGGGAGGGCTGTCAGGCCCATCACAGTAGTATCATACCCCAGGATACAGATCACTAACCCCAGAGGTACCAGGTGGTTGGCAGGGAAAGGGGTAGAAGTTTTCACAGCAGCGTTGGCCCTCTGGCAGCACATGGGACAGAAGCAAAGAACTGCTGTCCGTCCAGTTCCCATAGCTGGTGGGCGGCAGGTGGGTTAGGGGGGGTGTTCACAGTTGTGGAGCAATGGTTCATGTAGCTGGCCATGATGAAGGTAGCCTCTGCAATCTTAAGACAACAGAAACAAAGGAACTGAACTGGCCTTGGCTTGAATCCTGGCTTTCTCACATACTAGCTGCTATACGGGGTACATAACCTTCCTGGGCTTCAGTTTCTTAAAGTATCTGGGAGAAAATGTCCAAAGGGAATCATTTCTATGAGGCTCAAAGGCCCAGTGAAATGGGTGCCTGTTGGTCTGCAGCACCACTGACACACAGTACCCTCCTGAGAACAGGAGGGGTGATACTCGGCTCTGCTGGTCTCCAAGTCAGGGAAGTGGGTGTCCCTGGAAGAAGTGTCTGTATAGCCTCTCCTTTAGCAGGAGCAGTATTAAAAGGAAGAGGTTGGGGAAACTCCAATTTTAGGATTAAAACAAAAGGGTTTCTACTTACTCTCAGAATGGAGTCAGGAACTATAAATCAGAATTTAGGTTTTGGAGTCTACTTTGTAACTGTTATTTTTGCTAGTCCGTATTTCCCGCACTGAGCATGATACAAAGCCTTTAAAGTAGAAGAGGTCTCTGGATGGACTTTAAGACCATAGAAAAGGGGGAGCATGTGCAGACATCTTACTTTGGGACTGGCAGAAGCCAGCAGAAGGCGAGAGCACACTGAGGAGAAAGCTGGCTGCTCTGGCTCTGGGTCTGCTGCAAGAAGAGCAAGTAGACACCTGCCTCCAGCCTGTGTGATGCTGGGCTGCAAGGGCTGAAAGCACTATATGGACCACAGTGCATGCCCTCCTGGCCAGCCCCTCACCCACCAGCTCAGCAGTGACTCCTGAGCTGCAACCCTACCTGAACCCTTTGTAGGACTGATTGTAGACAAGGCCAAAGTTTCACCTGGGGAAGGCCCTTCTAGAGGATGGTCATAACCCAGCTTCCGTTTTTTTTTTCCCCCCAGCTTCTGTTCTTAACTTCAAGCCCACCTCCTCATACTAGATAAATCCAAGTAACATGTTTTAGCAGCTTTCAGACCCACCTTGGGAGCAGCCATCTGGAAGAGCAACTTCTCAATGTGACCTTTCCCAGAGCCCTGGTCTGGAATGGATCTAATTACAAGCATGAAGTCATCCCGGGAGCCACCGAAGGTCATTACTGAAGAGTAGGGGTACGTGACGTGCACTTGCTGTGAGAAGAAGCCAGTTAGTTCTGGGGGAACTTCCCACCTGCCTCCTGAGCTGCACCCCGTCTCTTCCAGGCACAGGTAGCCTTAACCAGAAAGGGAGAACTTGGAAGTGGTCCTAATTTGGAGGTCTACATCTTGAATGTCTACAAACTGTGTCTAGACTAGAGGACAGCAAGGCTTGGGAAGGGTGGGTAGGGAAACCGTGGTCACTTAGCTTGGGACTTTGAGTCCAGAGAGTAAGAGAAAAAGGCACTATTCAGAAGGAGGGGTCAGAGCCAGCCCTCGTTGTTTTGTACCATAGTATTGTGGTCCAGGATGCTGACACCATCCTCATTCACAGCAATCCACACCAGAGTGCTCTCTTTGGAAGACAGCTGTGCAGGCTAGGGAAACAGGAAATTCCATCAGACACAACCACAGTTAGGGATGCTCAACCATAAGAGCTTTCTGAGGAAGAAGGCACATTCAGGGATCTGCTAAGCAGTGGTTTGTGACCTTTTCTCATTATGGAAAACTTGAAAGATGGTATTTGTACAGCATGCCGAAGTAAACACACAGAGACATCTGGCCTCGGAGCTCTGGCCACCTAATTACCATCTCAAGGGTGGAGGGGTACCTATAGCCCATCCTGCCACAGTACACTGTAGGGGCTCTGTGCTGCAGAACAAAGGCCAGCCCTGACTGCTCTGTCATGGGCATGGAGAATGGGCTGTTTTCTCCTAGTGCTGGCAAACTGACAGCATTCCACCCACAGCCTCTCCTGGCTGAAGTGCATCTTGCTTCAGCCAATTTCCTAGGAGCTGCAAAAGAAACAGGAAAGAATGCAATCTTATGGGCTTTATGCTCCACTAGTGAGAAAAGGGACTATCTGGTGGACAATTCCTGGAATGACTGATTTTCACTGTCATAGCTACAGTAGAGCAATCCAGATTTCCTAGCTCTCCTACCCAAAAGGCTGAGGAGAAGGATGGACATGTCCTCATTTTCAGAAGTTTCTCCCAAACTCCCAAGACTGAGAGGTTCCCAGGATCCCTCTGTTATATGCCCTTATAACATCCCTATACTTCTCCTTTCATATTGTAACAGTTTGTAAAATAACTTACATGTATATTTAGATAGAGAATATATATAATTATTTGATTAATGTATGTCTCCCCCACTAGATGGAAAGCTCCATGAAGGCCAGGACAGTATCTGATTCACTCATCTCTTGCAATCTCATACAGTGCCTGAGTCCTAGTAGGAGCTCAGCAATTCTATATTGAATAAATGAGTGAATTTCCACTGGTCTAATCTCTACCATCAGTGAATAGGATCGTGATCCAGCTTTGAGGACATGATTGATTATGAATAAAGTTTATGCACACCAGACACCTGGCCAAGAAAAGTTCCAGCTAAAATTACTACTGGCCACCTGGGCTTCACGCAGGTGAAATTAACTGTTGCCTGAGTAGTTAAGAGTCCCCTGTGGCCATGCTAAGTCAGCAGAGATGCATTCGTTTAGATTACATAGTTACATATTGTTCTTTTGCACCTTTTAAAAAATGAAAGCATTTTTGAGATGGTAATGTCAAGTTTGAATCCTTGTGTGTGAATTAGTTGGCCGTATATTTTTTCTTTAGGGGTAGCACTGAGAAGTCTGAAAGGAAACATGAATGTTACTCAGATAATAATCCTGGCTGGAAAGCAGTGATCACAACTGTGCTCTGGACCAGAAATGGTGGAGAAACGGCGCCCTCTGGTGGTTGCCAGTGTGCAGGCGGGCCCTGCAGACTGGACTGGCTCCAATTGGACCAGATGTGGACAGCAGCTTGAGGAGAAATCTAGGGCATGTTCCTGAGGGTGGTGGTGGTGATAATCACTCCTTCCCCCTGGAAACCACCAGCACTTACCCGAGCAGCAAAGAGCTTAGCACCAAAGAAAGGCCATTTCCGGGCCACTGTCAGGTAGATGCGGATGCACTCGGGAGGGGAACAGCCTTGCAGTGCTGCCCACTTTGTGGTCAGCAGATCTGCCAGGTGCCTAGTTTGAATGAATGGAGACAAGTGGGCCACTGAAGTGCCAACATGTTTTCACTGCAGCTCTGAGGCTTTCCCCAGCCCGACAGCCCCTGCCTCCCCACTGCAACTCCCTCCAAGACCTTGCAGCCTACCTCAACTGTTCAGAGGGTGCCCCGTGTCTGTAGCGCCTTGGGTAGAACCTGTCTAAGACGTGCTGGAGGTGATGCTGAACCTTGGCAGGGAGTGGGCTCCCAGGGCCTTGTGGGCTGGGCCTCTCTAAGTCCCCATATTCTACCTGCGTTGGAAGCACATGAAGGGGGCAGTCAAGAGTCTGGAGGTGGGTGAGGTGGGGCTGGGGCTGCTGGAGAGGTGAAATAAACCATTACACTTCACTGCGTCATTGATGGGGTGAGGGTGGATGTGAAAACACTTCTTTGAATGACCCTTTATCTCAAATTTCATAGACCCTAGAGAGACCACCTTGCAGTCCTAGAAGGTTATCAACCTCCCTGTTGCAGTGGAGGTTAGTGCCTTATCCAAAGACAGTTAATCAGTGGCAGACAAGGGCAAACTGGATATTCTGGCTTCCAATCCAAAAATATGAGATACAGGACTGAAGATGCTGTAGATCCTAGAGTATTTCAGTGTTCCAGATGTGGCCTTTGGAATCAGACACCGGGCTCAGATAGATACCAGCTCTGCCATCTGCTGGCTCTGTAACCCTGAGCAAGTTACTTAAACTCTCTGGGCTTCAATTTCCTCATCAATTAAGTGAGGATAAGAACTAACTGGGATAAAACATAAAATGTTTTAGCAGAGGCTCCTTTATAGAGTATTCGGTAAATGTTTACTACTAAAAAGTCCAACTATTATTTCCCCTCCCCCCCAGCATGTACATTCAGATGCTTTCTCATGGGAACCACAAGGGCATCCTAGATACTTCCAGCAAGAAAGCCTTGTAAAGGTAATGGAGAAGAGTCGAAGTCTGAGTGCATTCAGATTCTAAATGTTATACAGTTGTAAGTACAAATTTTAGCACATCCATTCTGTGATACACATTCTTTTGGTAGCATACTTAGTACAACCCCGTGTGCAGGGAGGCATTTTTGTTTTCTGTATACAGAGAAGGAAACTAAAGCACAGACCACTGCAGTGACCTGGCCATGATCTTGCAGCAGGAAGGTCGCTGGCACTCAAAGGCAGGACTCTGGCTTCCACCACCAGAGTTCTGCCCATAATCTGTATCTGCAGAGAAGGGTTCTGCTGGTAAGGAGCCAGCTTCCCTCCACAGCCAGAGCCAGCCGGGCCACCCTCCTCTCGGGCACCACGGGGTCTGTGGTCTCCTGTTTCAGGCTGCATGCTATGTGCTCCCTGTGAGTCTGATCCAACTCCTGAACAGAACCTTACCTGAGCCATCAGGGCAGCCATCTCAAGAGCCAGCTCCTTGTTGACAGGAAACCTCCCTGCCACTATCTCCCCACTAGTCTGGGAGGCGAGCAGCAGCCGCTCCCGCTCCGTCTCCCCTTTGACTTGACTCCGAAAGTACAGCCTACAGGGAAGACAGAAGAAGCCAAGACTCAGCTAGGATCCTAAATGGATGAGGTCATCTTGGCATCTGTTTATCTTCATTTCCAAAGAAAGAAACTACTCTTTTTATACCATCTGTGAGCCTATTTTTTATTGCCTCCAGAAAAATTTAACTAAGCACAACACAGGGCAGATAGAGTGCCATCACATCTCAGAGCAACAGCGGCACAAGGTACACCTGAATATACTACTACCTTACTGGATTTGGTGAGGGGAATCTGCTCCCTGGAATCATAGCTTGTTAGGGAGCTGGATGAATTAAAGATTCCAAGAGACTAATGGAAGTTATTTGCCTGGAGACAGATCTAGGATGGGATTTTCTTATTCGAATGGACAAAAAATCATGGTATCTACTTCTATATTTGCTGGAATTGTTACAGGAGCTATTTATTCTTCGGCCTTAAATATCTAGTGCTCATACAAAATTTCACTTTCCTAATGTAACGTGCAGCCATCTCACACCAGGTTGTTCTGATTTTTTTTTGGCAGGGTAGGGGTGTGTGTGTGTGTGTGCAGTTCAGAGACCAAGAGCCTGAGCTACCCAGGGCAAGCCTGTCCACAACACAGTGTTGTCTGTGGATCCACTGTTTGTCCAGCACAGGCCAGCCTGTTGGAGTGACGAGTGCCCCCCCCGCCCCGCCCCCGGTGGCAAGCTCTCATGCTTGGCCCCACCCTTGGGCGGCACTCAGGACCTGTTCTTGTACATCAGCTTCACAACACGCGTGCCACCCTCAGCCTTGCCAGAGTGCAGCTCCTTCAGGGCTTGTTCCCACTTGGAGATGGCATCACAGATCTTAAAGAGGCAAGAGAGGAAAGTCAGGAAGGCCCTGGGGCAGGACTCAGGAAAAGCAGCAAGGCAGGGTTGAGTGACTGTCCTCCATCAGGAGGCTGATTTGCAGGCCTCATGCGCCTGGGACCTAGAGGTGCCTTACAACCATCTCACAGACAGGAAGAGCCCTGGGCAGGGCATGAGCAGCAAAGCATGGAATGCTGCTCCCATTGGCCTTAACACCCGAGAAGTCTCCCAGAGGCTAGGCAGGCCTCAATCAAAAACTGTGGCCCCATATTACCAGCTCCATTTCCATTCCACTGACCACTATTCTCTTCCAACAAGTGTACTCAGAGGCCTACTGTGTAACCAAGCCTTACAGACACGCAGACATTTACAAAGAGAATATATAGTGCAGTATTTCAAGGCAACGGTAAAAGACTATAGAAGCCTTTGCCCTGTTGCCATAAAAAGAGCAGACATGGAACCAGCACTCAAACTCATCAATGCAACAGCGCATTCCCATAAACACTTAACATCCCCTGTGGTGCTAATCGCAAACCACAAGACAAGATAGGTCTTAAATCCCATTCAAGGGCCTCTGACTTGATATATATATATATATATATATATATACACACACACACACACACAATATATATATACAATAGATATACAATATATACATATATATGTGTGTATACATATATACAATTCAAGATCCTTTCTACTGGCGCTGCTTAAAATGTGCTTGAACCTGTAAGCACAGCATGGGCCCTGGCAGACAGGGAGAGAATGAGGTGCCAGGATACAACACCACAGGTGTATAGCTGCCATCCTCTACATGTGTACAAGGACAAATGCCTCCCTGTCCTTCCCTCACCAAGAGGAGAAGCAGCTTTTCCCCTGGATACTGCACAGCCCTTCAAGGGCAGGGGGGATATGTAGGGAAAAACAACTTTTCTCTGCCTGTATGGGTATGTTTTAGGATGCCACAGAATGCTGGCCCACAGGAGCACCTTGGGCTCCAAAGCCAACAGGCTGTGAAATAGTAAGGCACCAGTCAGAGGGCCTCTTTCCCCACCACCCAAACCCCAAAGCCTTGGCAGTGTCCCAGGAGGCACTCAGTGGAATTTGTGGGCAGGCCATCACCTTGACACCCCCTGGCAGGCAGTGTTCCAGGTCCCTGCCGGAAGGATCGTCTGTGAAGAGGGCAAAGCCAGAGTGGGAGGACTTTCTCATGCCTGTCTCTTGGTTCAGACGCTGGAGGAACTCATCAACTGTGGAGGAGCCATCAAAACCGACCACCTACATGGGAGAAGTGTTAGTCCCAGAGGAAACTTCCTGAGAGGAAGTGGAGCAGTGTGGGTCTGGAAGGAGGAAAGCTCGGCTGAAAGGAGCAAGGGCACATGGCAAATGCTGAAGGAAGCTGGCTTCCATGGTCACATGCAGAGGGGGAGTGCTTCAGGGATAAGCCTGCCTGCTGTAAGCTGGAGTCAGAAGCTCTGCTGCTCCTTTCTGGCCACTCTTTTGGAGGCTTTTGTCATGCCACTTGTTTGGTCAATGTGTCAGCTTCCCCATTCAGGCAGTGGCTTCAAAAGATCTACTTCCCAGGTGCCAAACAGCAAGGCACTTTTGCAATTCGAGATCCTTTCTACTGGCACTAATCTCCCTACCCCTACCTGCAAATTGCAGGCTCTTCCTTCGCTTGTTTGCCTATTAAGAATCTGTCTGCCAAGCCTGAGGAGGTTTAGCACCCACCTGGCCTAAGGTGTTCTCTGGGGTCGGGATATGAGAGGGCTCAGGAGAGGGAGCCGCGCTGCCTCCTCACCTGGTAAGTCCCATTGGTGAAGTGCACAGGGATGCTGAAGGGCAAGGAGTGGTGGAAGGGGTTGCGTAGCAAGATGGACACCACTTCCATGCGTGATGGCCTGGCCTCCCGCTCCCCAGCCTGCAGGGTCCGCTCCACTGCCCGCTGGCAGTAGGTGGCATACTGGCCGGTTTCATTTCTAGAGACAGGTGACAGGTGAAGAAAGAAAAGAATTCCAGGGGATCCACTCATCCCTGCTACCCTGGCACCATGGCTGCCACCCTGACCCAGCCAAGACCAAATCTGCAGTGGGGCCAGTGGTGAGTAAAGCCCTGAACACCCTGGTGTGTGGTGTTACTCTGTCATTCAGGGTCTATCAGCAGCAGGTGGCTGGCACAGATATTTTCTCCAGAAGAACAGGGCAACAGATAATGAAAATGTGGGAATGATCTGGGGACACTGTAGCTTCACGTCAGCACAGCCACTAAGCATGCATATGGACACAGACTGGTATGCAGAGTAGCCCTGGCATGCCCAGACCTCCACATGCCCATCTGTGGACATGGCAATGAGGGACGTCTCTGTGACCAATGTGCAAACCTCCAGGGGCAGGGTGATCTGATCCATCCTGGTCCCCCATGGCCCACTTCACCACACCACAGTCAGCAGTGCTGGAGTGGCTCACTCACCTGGGATCTGCATGACGCTGGAACTGCTGTTTCACGTACCAGAGGAAGTGGTGCTGGGGCAGGAAAAGTGGGGTGCACAGAGCCAGGAGCTGCCAGCACTGCCGGGAGAACAAGCAGCATGGGGTGGGTGCCAGCTGTGCAGTACCACTGGCCCTCATGGCCCTGAGCGACCGGGCCTTCAGCACTCTCCAAACCAGGGCCCCCAGCCTTCTATGGCCTCCAGGATGGCCATCTGGTCAGGCTTTGTCCAGAATAGCAATCACACAACCTGATTATGCACAGACACCTAGGAGGGGCACAGCCGTACGGAGGCAGCCACTGGTACCACATGTAGAGGGGACCTGCCCAGAACCCTCCTTCCACCTTCCAGCCTCCTGGGCAGCCCCGGCCAATGGCTGCTGTCAGCCGCTTCGCCCTGAGGATGCCCACCTGTACGAGCGAGTATTTCTGAGGTGGGCGGCAGCTGGTCTGCTTCATGAGTTGGCAGTAGATCTCGCTCTGCAGCTCGGGGTGAACAAGGCAGACCTGCAGGGCTGTCTGGGCCAGAGACACGTGGTAGTCCACGGAGGCAGCCTCCACAGGCACGTTGATGAAGAGCTGGCAGGACTGGCAGGAAAAGGATGGGGGCCCAGGCAGACCAACGGCCCCTTGATTAGTACCCGTAGTGGCAGTGGGCAGACTGGGCAGCCCCCCATGGCTCCCAGGAGGTCCGGGTTGCCACAGGCAGCCCTTTCTAAGAGGGAGCACGCCATTCACTGCCTGAGAGCAGCTCTGTCTGCTGAGAAGGCTGCTTTGGGATAGGATCTTTCTTCCTTTAAATGTGTCCATTACATAAGCAAGACATTTTTTAAAGAGAATATTCAGATGGACACAGAGAACATTCTAAAATAGGTCAGAATCTCTCAGGTTGAGAAGCAACCTAAACCTGGCCTTTCCTGCTGCTCGCTACATGAGGAGGGGAGATCCTCAAGGGGGAGTTTTACTGGCACCTTCCAAGGGAGCCGTGCATGTCTCCCCACCATAATGGACAGTGGTGAGGACCCTCTGGGACTCCTTCCTTTCCATTCACAGCCCTCTGTGAGTTCCCCCTAACTACAAGGTTCCATGGGTTCCACCTGACTATCACCACAGTGGGCAAACTGCTCTGGGGTGAGCCTGGCCTCATGGGGAGGGGGCCACCTGTGGGTGGGCCAGGCTTCCTCCCTATTTTACCTTGAAGAGCTTGAGAGCCTCGGTCTGCAGAGCCTCTGAGGGCAGGGTGGTGAGGGAGGTGTACAGCCCATCTTTGCTGTAACACAGCATGGGGTGTCTCCAGAGAGGGGAATCTGCCCAAAGCAAGCACCGAGAGCCACGCAGTTAGCACCAGTGAGGGACCTGGCCTCCCACCCCCTCTTTGATTTGTGAGGAAAACAAGGATTGACCATCTGAGCACATGCGATGTACTGTGTTTATACCCATGGAGTGTGAGGTATGTAGCCGTGCACCGCATCTAGCGCGCAAGGACGGCTTACAGAAAGGGAGCTACTGCTCTGCTCTTGGGGCTGAAGTACGTGAGGTTGGGGTATCTGAGCACAAGCATGTGTGTGCAGGGGAGGCCGCTCCCTGCAGCATCAGGTCTGGATGGGGGAGCCCACATCAGCCTGAAATAAACAAGCCTTGGAGGAGCAGTGAAGGGGTGTGTGGTATGTGTCATTAGCTGCTTGGGGTCCTGAGAATCACTAGCAAAATAAAGATCCAGTAATGCCCCAGGCTTAGGTTAGTCCAATCCCAATTTAGGTTTCATTAATTAACAAACTCTAACTCTTAATCAGCTACCTTCTTTCCTCAACCCTCTGCCCAGCCAGCAAAGTTGCAGTGAACAAAGTAAAACATTGACCGAGGTCACTGGAAAATCGGCTTCCCAAATAAACTCCCCCAGATACAGAGTGATCATCTTCATTGAAACAGGGCTCTGGAGCTTGGATGAGAAAGGCCCTCTGTGGCTTAGATGCTTTTAAAACAGCTTCAAGTACAGAAATGCTTTCTTTGGGTTTCTGACCAGCCACTACCCAGACACCACCCTCCCACCCCCAAGCAGTGATGGCCACCCTTGCTTTACCTGGGTCTCCCTCCCCATCCATCAGTTTTCCAATGAGCTGCTCATAGGCAGTGCCAACCCTGGCACTGCTGCCGCCTGCAGCCACTGTGAGGTGGTAAAGCCACGTGTCCTAGAAGGGGATGGAAGCCACCTGGTGAGACTGGAGTAGGAAGAATGGAGGCAAGCGCTCCAGAGAAGCTTCCTTGAAGGGGCCAAGCCCAGGGTGATATGAGGCTAGTCTGGTTGGCACAAGTCAAGGCCATCAGTCTCTAGGAGGAAAGACCTGGGATCAGTGAACATGAACCCAAGTTTCTAAGCTTGAGGTGCTATCTCATGGTCCCAGTGGAGAGACGCTGGTCACTGGGAGGGAATTCACTATAAGAAATCATCCCAGAGAATATGAGCCACCAAAATGTCCAGAAGGGACTTGAATCTGGGGAGGCTTGGAAAGAAAGATGGAAGATGAGAATCACAGGACTGAGCATGGCCATGGGGGCCCAGCCCCCTCCCTTACCTTTTCATGCTTAGTGCCAATGAGGAGGTAGGTGGGGCTATGCTCTGGGGGGTGGATCACCAGGGTGCAGTGGGAGGACAGCAACCGCCTGCTCCCTCCAGCCTCATAGTCCTCGTCCGAGTCACAGGATCGATCTACTTCCTCTATGCGCGCGTCCCGCACAGGCAGATGGCCCAGGGGTCGCTGCGGACAGGAGGAGCCTTCCATGAATGGGAGAGCCAGCAGGGTACAAGGCAGTCTCCTCTCTCTGAACCCTTGGGCCCTGTTGGGCTAGGAATCATGGGCATGGCCAGGTCACAGATTGAGGGGGTTAAACTACAGCTCCCCGGCTGAGGCTTGCCTTGAGAAGCACAGATAGACCACACAGGTGGAATCTGTGGGCCACGCACATTGGCCCTTCAGGCTAGTGGGATCCAGCCAGCTTTGTACTTGTGGTGGCATTGGGTGCGGTAGGGGGGAAAGCTGGGGCCTGCCATCAGGACATGGAGAAACAGGAATGTGGTCTGGGGAGAGCAGAGAGTGGGTGCTGTCAGGAAGCCATGAAGTACCTTGTCCTCATGACTTCGATAGTAGTAGAAGGTTTTCCCAACAAGAGCACACCAGACCAGCTTGGAATGGCCATGTTTTACCTATAAAACAGAAATTAAGACCACATTATTAGAACCAGGTAATCCCACAAGTAAATCCAGAACTGCCAAAGAGGCCACAGAAAGGCAGATCTCCAAAGACCTGGTCAAACTCAGGTCCTTAAGTGGAGATATCACCCAGACTCCCTACTAACAGAACCAGCCTTTTCACATCGAGGGTCTGTGGCATGTACCCTGTGATACCTCATCCATTCTTATGCCACATGCCATTAAAAGATTAACCAGGCCAATCAGGAGTCCTGTCCCAGGACTATGTTCATTAGCTATAAGGATGCTGAGAGGGAGGCAGGGCCATCCACGGTAGCTTGAAGCCCCCAGGCCGACGTAAATCACAAGGGCACAGCAAGTGCACAGACGGCAGAGGAGGCCAGCACGAGCCACAGCCTGAATGGGGAAGCAGAGGCAGAGAGAGCCAAGAGTACGGAGCTTGCTCACACAAGTAGCTCTGCTTCCTGATGGCCTGCTGGCCTAGTTCATGTGCTTCCTTGTTAACTTCCGTCTTCTTGAGGTTAACAAGCACTTCTCTGCTCCTTAGCCCACAAGAGTCCTAACTCAAACACCAACACCTTTAGGGCAGGTCTGGGATCCCATGTCTTGGAGTGGGCACACCTGCCTCGCCTATGTCATGGCTTCCCACTCCTCACAGAGGCAGGTGCAGGTGGGGGTGGGTGGCAACTCCCAATAACCTCAGAACAGGTACAAAACATTCCTTTCCTTCCTGTCCTGGTGACAGCTTGGTGCTAACAACCCTCATCTCTGTTTTCATTCTCTGACACTAGGAGCGGTCAGGCTGTGTTTGAGGCTAATCTCCAAGAGCCAATGCCTGCAGACAGGGGCTGTAAGGGGGTCGGCACTCAAGAGGCCCATATTCAGGAGGCCCACATTCCTCCCCACTGGCCCCTCCAATACCTTGGTCAGCCAGCCCTTCACAGTGGGCTTGGTGCTGCCCCGAGGCAGGGCTGGAGGCCCCACGGCCTGGACCTTCAGCAGGCTCTGCAGCACCCGGATCCACTCCTCCAGCAGGCCAGGTGAATCTGCTGTCAGGTAATAGGTTTTCTTCTCAGAGATAAGCTGTAGAGGAGGGATTGGGGGGGCAGGGGAGATGGCATGATGGAATGCCAGGGACTTGGCTCTGAGGCGGTGCAAATCCCTGAATCCACCGGGCCTTCTTTCTTCCCACCTGGGACTCAATCCCTTCTTTCCTTTGTTCTTTTCCCCATCTCTGCTGCCTTCACTCTGGCTCGCCCATTCAGTCTCTTCTTCCTCCCCAGTACTAGGGTCACATCCAGACGGGGATGTGAGGTTTCTCCCACACACTCATTCTTCCCCAGCTTTGTTTCAATCAGAATCCTATCCAAACCCAGTAGCTCCTCATCTAAACCCCTGGCTGCTAGGAGCACACCCACCTGGAATGTCTGTGCACCCTCCCCACGAACAATCTGGCAATGGGAATTCAGTTCCACTACTCCCTGAGGTTTCCGGATGACATCACTCTGTAAAGACAGGAATGGGGAGGAAAACAGTCAGAGCCTTCCCAGAACACATCGTTCTCCCTCAAATGTGACTCTAGGCCTCAGACAAAGGGGAAAGCGATCCCCAAGCTTTCCTGCACTGTGATATGAAGGGTAACTTGTTCTGGATCCTGGTTCTAGCTAAATGGGGCAATAATTAGAAACAGGTTCGTCTGACCCAGGCCTCGAAAAGTATAGATTGAACCTTTAAAACTGGGTCAGAAGCCAGCAGGTTATTACTGAGCTATAAAGCCTTTACAGTCTTTCTACTACATCTTTATACCGAGTATGGCAAATAAGTGGCATACATACATATCACCATTCCCTTCTCCGGTGTGCCCGCACACCTTACTAACCACTCAGAGCATGCCTACTTGCTGAGTGATACAGGCCCAGAATCCTCAACAGCCACTGACAATCGGCTGGAGTTGCATGAGCGACACAGCCTTTTCACTTTCTTTAAAACATTAATGTTGGTTCCCCAAGGAGGTCCTGTCAAACTAGATCTCAACATCCAAGGCTCCCTAGTTCCAAACTACAGGAAGGAGGTAGAGGAGGTCATGGGCTCTCTGTTAGAACAACCCAGATGACGTGAGGGCAGCCAGGAAAAAAATTCTTTTATAGGACCAGGCATTAAAAGAAATCAGCTTCTGAAGTATGAAGGAATCACCAAGCCAACTCATCTAGAACTGCCTCTGACGCCTCTGTACCTGATTTCACTCCAAGAACCAGTGACCAGCCTCATGGTTCCACGTGAGGTTCAGAGCCTCGGGTATCCAGACAGGCTGCCTCTCCCCACCTGCCAGACCTCTGGCCGTGGGCCACACCAGCCCTTCCTCTAGCCTCTGTCGCACAATTCTGAGTTTGGACTGGGGCCCTAGTGACTACTGTCCTTGGGGAGGAGGGTCTCACCGGAGACTTGTAGTACATAATCTGTCCCTGTCTCAGGACAAACCAGCGCCTCTTCCATGTCTTCACCCGGCTCCCCATTTTTAGCAGGTAGCCTGACTTCTCCAGTGACTCCTGCAGGGGTGAGAGGGCACAGAGGGGAAGAGGAGTGGACAGAAAGAGGGAGTCATTTGGGGTTTGTAGATGTCACCCAGGCCAAAACGTCCCAGTTGAGTTACTGCTTTGTCATCAATTACAAAGTCTTGAGTATCTACTCTGTATTTTCAGGGCACCAGGCCCTGCTAAAGGTTTGGAGAGAACTAGCATAAAGCAAGGTGATCCCGCCATGGAAGGGTCCTGTTGGCTAGGGAAGATAACACCCACCCCATGAGAAGGCGGCAGGCCAGGGGCTGCACAAGGGAGCAGCTAGCCAGGGAGGGCTTCACAAAGAGCCAGATCTGAACTGGCCTGGGAAAGAAAAGTCAGCTTCCCTTCAAAGACGCACCAAGGGGAGGAAAAGGCCCTCATTGGCAGCAGGAAAGGAGAGTGAGGTTTGGGAAACAAGGGGCACATCAGCCAGGCTGGGGCAGGGGGCTGATGGAGGCGGGGAGACAAGGCCCGTTGGCACAGTGGTGTGGCCCAAGGACCAGGGGATGAGGGATGTGAGTTTGCAGCACGGTTCTGAGCCTCAGGCTTCTTATCCATAAAATGGGGCCCTAGTCCTGAGAAGATGGTGAGGACACATGAACCAAGGACTGAGGACAGTGCGTGGCACAGTGTAAGAACCCCATAAAGGTCAGCTCTCGGCATTCCGGGGTCGAAACACATGTAATCTCCTGGGGCCGCCAGGGGAAAGCCCACTGGCTACTCCTAGCTCCATGAGGAGCTCACTAGGTCCCCTCTCCTTCCTTGCAGGGTCTGTGTATACCTGCCTGCCCCCCAACACACTCCTTGGCACTTCACACCTGTCACTACCCCCTGCCACTGCCTTCACTGTTCCCCAGGATGCCTATCTCCAGGCAGGCAGCATCTGCTGGAGGCCTGCTCCCATCCTGCCTGCCTCAACCCAGCTGAGGGGGCCGTGCTCCCAGCTCACCCCACCCAGGCCTGGCCCCTCAATGGAGTAGGAAGAGGTGCGCTGGAGTTTGTGCTCCGGCTCCGAGTAGTCGCTGTCCAGTGAGCAGGCATCTGGGGGGATGGCGTAGTCACCCTCGGAGCTCAGCGAGGACATGGAGACACCTGCCAAGGGAGGAGGAGTCCAGGCCTGGGTCCCCTTACCCCTCCCGGGGCTGCAGGGGCTGCAGGGACTGCAGGGACCTTCCTCACCGACCCAGGACCTCTGAGTCTGGAGCTGAGGGTCACTGGCAGAGATGAAGCAGGGAGCCCTGGAGAAGCCCACCTGTAGGAAGAGGGCTTGCTGTCCCACACCCTGCTGCTCCCTCCTCTGTACCTCTCTTGATGGCCCTGGGGCTGCCCAGTCCACTGGTCTTCCTGGACTCTGAGCAGGGGACTGAAGATCGGAAACTCGCCTGAGAGCTGCAGTCATCGTCAGACCCGGAGGACTCATCCATAAAAGGCACGCTGCTGATCTGCGTGGCTCTCTGCAAGACAGGCACCCTCCCCCACTGCAGCTCACCTTGCCAAACAAGACCCTTCCCCTCGGCACTTGTGTTCCTGCCCAGGTGCCTGGGGTGCGGCCAACACAGCCTGCCCCGGGCACTCGACAGACAACTGTTGCATCTGTGTCCTCACCTCCAAGCTTCTCCTTTGGCCTCCCGCCCCCACACAGAGTCCTCCGTCCTCCGTGGTCCCCAAAGGAGCTGCCCCATCTGAGCTAACTGGCTGCTATGACCCTTGCTCCTGCCACTAGGGGGCCAGGATGCCACGTGGGGCAAGCAAGAGACAGGAGCTTTATTTATTTATTTTTATTTATTTATGAGAGACACAGAGCGCGCGCGCACGAAAGAGAGAGAGAGAGAGAGAGAGAGAGAGAGAGAGAGGCAGAGAGAGAAGCAGGCTCCATGCAGGGAGCCCGACGTGGGACTCGATCCCTGGTCTTCAGGATCACAACCTGGGCTGAAGGTGGCACTAAACCACTGAGCCACCTGGGCTGCCCGAGACAGGAGCTTTAATCTGTGTGTGGGGATAAGGAAATGAGGCCATCTCGGTGGGCAACATTTAGAAAGACAGTGTCAATGTTGGTGAAAGCATGGGAAAAAAGATACTCTATAGTGTGATAAAGCCTTTTAGGAGGTAATTTGGCACTACCTGCCAAAATTTAAAATATGGATATCATTTGCCCATAAATTTCACCTCTGGAAATACATTATACTAAGTCCACAGAGATATATTTGCACAATGATATTCATTACAGCATTGATTTTAGAGAAAAACATAGATATGACCTAAATTGTCAATCAGTGTGGGCAGCCCGGGTAGCTCAGCGGTTTAGTGCGGACTTAAGTCCAGGGCATTATCCTGTAGTCCCAGGATCGAGTCCCGTGTCGGGCTCCCTGCATGGAGCCTGCTTCTCCCTCTGCCTATGTCTCTGCCTCTCTCTCTCTCTGTGTGTGTGTGTCTCTCATGAATAAATAAATAAAATCTTAAAAAAAATTGTCAATCAGTGGAGGGCAGGTTAAGTAAGGTAGTTATGGGGGAATCTATACCAAGGGGTACTGGACAGCCCTAAGGGGAAGCAGAGCTGTGCACAGAGGTACGGCAGGAAGATGTGACACACAGTCGCATGAACAAACAAGGAGTAGCAGGATGTGTATAATGTGATCCTCGCTGCGTGCATGTGTGTGTTTGAGAAAGAGAGAGAGAGAGAAAGAGAGGGACAGACAGGGACACAGACAATATTTGTCAATATACCGGTAAATTTGTCAGAGAGCCTCACAGGATAAACACCAAACCATTAATGATAGTGGCCTCTGGGGTCAGAAATTAGGGAAAAGCAATGTGAAAGAAAATTTAACTTTTGGCTTTTTGGTTCTTCTATAAAATGAGCTCAAAAACCACTAATAAAAGGAAAAATGTGTATGACGTTATCTCAGTTGTATCTGACCTTTGTTAAAAAATATGTAGAGATATGAAACTAACATGACACTGCGTGCCAACTACATTCAACAAAAACCACGCAGAGATATTATGAGAGTATACACAGGAATATTTGTTTGACTATGTATGAAAAGTTCTGGAAGGAGTCTTCTTGGGAACAGACATGTGAAAAGATGGTGGGGACAGGTGAAACAGGCATAGGTCTAATAACATTTAACTTTTCACTTTGCCCACAATTGTATTGATTCAAATTTTTGTAAACATACAATTTTTATAATAAAAATCTAATAAAAATAAAATGACAGATACATGGGAGCTGAGCTCCCTGCCCAGAGTCATGTGGTCATGTGTGTGCTGAAGCCTGACCCTAGAGGCCCACTAGAGCCACTACATGGAGAAGGGGCCTCCTGGATGGAACACCCCCACCTCGGACAGCAGCTTCTTACCCCCTTCAGGGCTGTGTAGACAGGCACGGTGACATTCTTGTAGACAAGGCCAGAGAAAGGCCCAGGGGACGCAAGGGCAGGAGGGCTTGAAGCTGGAGGGGGTGGGGAAGAGGGATGAGATTAATTCAGGTGCCATAACTCACTCAGGGGCCTGCAGGAAGTAGAGACGTGGGCCAGCGGAAGATATCCAGGCAGAGAGTGTTCCCTGAACAAGCACTCCAGGAAGACAGGTGGGGTGGCAGTCCTTAGGATGGGGGCTGTGGACTTCAGCCCCACTTTTGCCACTATGGAGCTCACATCATGGGGGATTCACTGGCTGGCCAGCTGACTCAGGAGCCAGAGGGTTAGGGATGTGGTTCCTTCGTGGGGGTGGGGGGAGGTGGCATCTAAATTGGGGCACTGAGGAGCTCCCCCCGCCCCCTAGTACTGGGCATTACTGAAGAGAAGCCAATGCAGATGGGGGAGGCTGGGCTGGAGGGTCTCACCTCTAAAGTCCCTTCCAGCTCTGTAATTGGCTACAATCCTGTTCAAGGCCCCGCCCACCCTATAAGTGAGTAGTTGACCCCGCACAGCTTCCTTTTCCCTCAAGGTGGCCGGGGCTGTGTGATTTCAGTGAACCTCACTGGCTGGGGGAGGGAACGGGGTGACAGGTGACACTGGCCCTGGGTGTTGCTAAGAGTCTTCTCCCTGCATGCCCACCCTGTCCACCACGTGGGACTCACCACAGCAGGTGACATTAGTTCTGGAAGATGCATCCGAGAGCCGCATGCCAGCCATGGCCACAGCATAGATCCGGCTCTCCTGTAATGGAAGGCCCCATCGGGTCAGAGCCCAGTGTGGAGCCCGGCCCAGCCCCTCCTGAGTGTGGAGAGAAAAGGACGCTGTGGACGCAGGCCTGCATGGAGGCTTGGCCAACTACCGGTGGGGGAATCCTAGGCAAGTCACATCTGAGCCTCCTCCTCCTCAGCTCTGAAGGGGGGTAATGCTCACCTGTCAGGCTGTTATGAACATCATTAATGTAAACGTTTGACAGCATCCAACAGATATTCACTCCTTCTCTTGCCTCCACCCTTCCCTTGGGGCAAGGAAGTTCAAGAGGAGGAGGTCAGTGACCTGACCCATTTTAGAGGATCTTACCCATTTTAGAGGCCCTGGGTCCCAGGCTCTCACCCCTCAAAGCTGGGGTGTTGATAAGGAAGTGGGTGGCCCGTGGCAAGGGCATGCCCTTTTGCAAGCCTGTTGTTTGGAAGCTGGGACACAGTTTTTTCCTACAGTAACAACGTTATGTTCACAGTTAGGCCCAACCTGCAAAGCCTGCCTGAGCTCCCCCAGGACCCTGAACTCTGCTGTAGAAGACACAGGGATGGGAACCTCCACCCTCAACTCCTCTTTTACTCCTCAGGATTCCTGTGTCTGAAGCAGGGCCCTGGGCCTAGGGAGCTTTACTAAGAGTTTTGATGAACAACCCAGATGCCGCACTGCTGCTCTTTCTTAACTCTTCTCCATTCAAGGGAAAGGGAAACAAAGGCCTCGTCAGGGGACAGGGGAGTCACATGGACTAGGGGAGGTGGGCCCGGCCTGGGGCTGGAAGGGCCATGGGGTGCTACTCGGTGTCCCCCAGAGGGGAGCAGCGGCTCTGGAGGGCTGGGTGAGATCCCCACCCTGAGCTAGGTGGAGGGATAGGAAGGTAAGAGACAGAGAGGCAGGCGGAGGGGGTCCCAGGAGGGGATCATTCCTGCTAGTAGTGATCATGGAGCTCAACCAGGACAGGCCTCTAACATTATAGAAGAAATGCAAACGAAGCTTGAGGGATTTGGGTAAAACAGACAGGAGAGCATTTTACAAAAGTTACCCACTGTCCAACTCATGAGGCTGCTCTGAGGATCAACCAAAACAGGGCTTGGCACGCTCTCAACTGGCAGATCAGTCTACCTCCTCCCTCCGACTGAGGAATGTCCTCCTCTCAGTTCCCAGTCTAGATTTCCCCTCAGATGGCCGCTGCCCAGTTGGTCCCACCTAAGAAGAGAGTGTGGGCACCTGTCTGGTTTTTTTTTAAGATTTTTAAAAATATATTTTATTTATTTATTCATGAGAGACACACAGAGAGAGGCAGAGACACAGGCAGAGAGAGAAGCAGGCTCCATGTAGGGAGCCCGATGTGGGACTCGATCCTGGATCTCTAGGATCACGCCCTGAGCCAAAGGCAGACGCTCATCTACTGAGCCACCCAGGTGCCCCTATCATCTTTAGGGCCAAGTTACAACAAGGATCATGAGCAGGAGACAACTCCTCCTTAGCTGGTAAGGCCACTGCGGGGTCCCGGGGCTTGCCAAGAGCAGGGAGGGCCTGTGGGAAGACCCAGATCCCACCTTTACCCCCACAGCTTAGCTGATGTCACATGGGGAAAGTGTTGTCCGAAGAACCTTCTATATTTATTCACTCCCTTCTTCTCTGGCTGTCCCTCTCCTTCCCCTTAACACACACTCATCACGTACAGGCAGAGCACAGGAACTCCTCTGTCCATATAGGTGAACAGCTCTATTTTGGCAAAATGGCAAGTGAGCAGCGCTTTCCTCTGGTTACACCTGCTGAGGCCTCTTGTCACACCCCTTGCCAGAATGCTCCCTCACTGCTCGCCTCTGCTTTCAGATTCTAGATCGTTTATAGTTACAAGACAACAATGAAAAAAAGGAGGGATGGTTCTGACGGAGATCCAGCCTGGCCGGGCCCTTGCCTCCTTTCCGACATCCTCTCCCTGTGCCCCGCCTGCCCCTTTGCTCCTTCTCTGCCCCCTGTCCCTCCACATCACCCTTCCAACCTGGGAGGCAGCGCCCTGTGCGGTGCTCCCACCACCTCAGAGCTTCAGGGACAGGGCAGCATCACAAGGCCTGGAGACTGGCCCTGGGTAGACCTCCCAGAGCTCCCGCCAGGCCTCGCTCCCAGGCGTGGCTGTGTCTCCGGCCATCAGGCTGCCTCACAGTGATCAGTGTTGGTCAGCAAGCACTGCTAAGGACCTGGCCTGTGTGCCTGCAGCACTGAGGCTCCCAGACCGCCAGCATTTCCAAAGGAACTCCTGGAGGGGCACCTGGGCCGCTCAGTCAGTTAAGCCTCTGCCTTTGGTTATGATCCCAAGGTCCTGGGATCAAGCCCCACATGGGGCTCCCTACTCAGCTGAGAGCCTGCTTCTCCCTCTCCCTCTGCCCCTCCCTCCTGCTCATGCATGCACTCCCTCTTTCAAATAAAGAAATAAAACCTTAAAAAAAAAAAAAGAGCCCCTGGAAGGTGCTACTGAAAAGGCAGGTCTCCTGGGCAGTGGTGAAAGGTGGTGTCTCCCTGAAGTACGCCTCTCAGTACCCTATTCCTTATGCTGCCAGGAGCCTGACACTCAAGATGTCTCCTACCTCGGCACCTCATACCACAGCAGCATCCAGGGGTCTGAGCTCAAGTAAGAGGCTGACATCTGCTCTCTGATGTCCCCTAAGAAACAGCGTAGCTGGAAGGCTAGAGCTGAGCTCTGGAGGCAGCAGGGCCACATTTAAAGCCTGGCTCCTGGGCAGCCCAGGTAGCTCAGTGATTTAGCGCTGCCTTCAGCCCAGGGCCTGATCCTGGGGTCCTGGGATGGAGTCCCGAGTCCCACGTTGGGCTCTCTGCATGGAGCCTGCTTCTCCCTCTGCCTGTGTCTCTGCCTCTCTCTCTCTCTCTGTGTGTCTCTCATGAATAAATAAATAAAATCTTAAAAAAAAAAAAAGCCTGGCTCCTCACTAACTACTGCATGACCTTGAGTAAGTAACCACGTCTGTGGGGACAGCAGTTTCCCATCTGTGACATGGGACAGTACTAAGTTGTTCACACTTCCACCGGGCCGTGAGCTACATGCTCCACACCCCAGCTCTCATCCCACCTTCCACACTGACCTGCTCAACCTCATCCATGTCCATCCACCCCGTTTTCATTTTAACTGTTTATCATGGAAAATGTCAAACAGGCAGAGAGGTGGAATAAAGAGACTAAAGAATGACCTCACGTAGCCACCTCCCAGTTCTCCGAAGACTGACACATGGCTGGTCTTGTTTCACTGGTGCTCCCAATCCCAGATCACTGATTCTGAGGCAGTGCCACCAGACATCACGTCCTTTATCCAAAATTACAATATGGGAGCTAAGGCTCACAGACAACGGTAGCCAGCTGTGAACCACTACCATGGGTACTTACTGCCAGCTAGTAGACTATCAATCCTCACAAACAACCCAATAAAGGAAGTACTATTATCCCCATGTTACAGATGGGAAACCGAGGCATGCAGGTTTAGTAACTTGCTCAGGGTCGCACAGTTAGCAGTTGACCCCTAGTGGTTTGATCCGGGGATCTGTGCTCCTTACCACCACACTGCACCACCCCAAAGAGTCAAGAAGATTAAATGAGAATGTGTGCACAAAGCCCCCAGCTTGGCGTGTGGCACATGCTCACGAAACAAGAGCCAACCACCATCCGCTCACCCAAATCCTGGCTCTACCCCTTGCTAACTGGTCATGAGGACGAGAGCCTCCTCTCAGGCTCCACGTGAGGCTGTGCTCGGTGAGCCACTCTGCCCCCCTGCCCCTCTGCCCTGCAAACCAACTGCCTCTTACCCAGGATGGAAACCGGTGCAGGGGGGGTGTGGGGGGTTTGCTGCCCAAATCCACTTCCTCCAGCTCAGCTCTGGGGGCCTTCGGGCTTTCTCTTTCCTTTTCCTTCGCCATTGGGGGTTGCTCCTCCATCTCCACGTTCTCTGGTTCCTCCCGGAGCTCAGCTCGGGCCTCCACCTCAGGAAGGCTGGAGGGGTGGAGGGCTGAGAGGGTCCCAATCTCAATGCTCACCACATGGTTGAAGTGCCCAGGGCCCACCTGGGGCTGGCTGTGGTGCCGCTTGGCCAGCTGGATGCTGTCCCGCGGGGTGCTGGGGACCCGCACCTTTGGTAGGGTCAGGCTGCAGCCCGGGCTGCCTTCCCTGGCAGAGTTCTTTGTCCCAGGGAGTGTCCCTCCCTGAGCAATGACCAGGCCCTCACCCCAGGAGGCCGAACCATGTCTGTGGGTGCGAGGCTTCATGCACAGCTGGCGGGGAGAGCCCTCTCCCAGATGCAAGGGAAGGGCCTTGGAGTCTGATATTTCCCCAGGATGGACCACGATGGGACTAGAATCCTCCAGGGAAATTCCTGGAGGAACAGAGTCCTTGCTCTGCAGGGCATCTGGGGAAGGTGCAGGCATAGTTGCCTTCAGGGCACCCTGGGCCTGAGGACCACTGTCCTGCCCTATCGGCTGGGTTCCTAGACCTGAAGGACCAGAATCCTGCTCTGGTATTTCCTGGGTGGCCACCAGCAGCTTCCCTGAAGGTGCCATCTGAAGAGCTGTGGTTGGGGTGAAAAACAGGCATATTAAGAGCTTCCTCAATTCAACGTATGCCCTGGCACACGCACGTGCGCACACACACACACAATGGCCTGTCCTGCTTACCTTCTAGAGCATCTTGGAGGACTCCCACCTGCTCAGCCAGGTGCTGATTACTGCTCTTCAGGTGCTGATTCTCCATTTCAAGCTGGGCAAAAAGAAAAATAAAGATTTAGAATATTTAGCCTACAGGTTCAGGCATATAATTCAAAATAAGATTAAAATCCTTTTTAAAGATCAAATCTTTGAAAAAGAACAGTTGGTGCCTCAGCAACTGTTGGTGCTTCCTCCCAGGAGCTCTGACCAACCCCTTTCCTTTGTGCTAACCAGTTTTGGTTGGGATAGAATTCCATTTGGCAGCCCCTGCACCTTTTCTAGGTATTTTAACTTTTTAAAAAATTTGTGAACTATAATATATACACAGGAAATTGCATAGCATATCAACGAAGAGCTGAACAAATGACTCTGAAGTGAACGCTCATATGACTTCTGCCAGGGTCAAGAAATAGGAATTTGCCAGCATTGTTAACAAACCGGGATGTGCCCCCTCCCATTCACATGCTTCTCTCTCCCCATGAAGGCAACCACTCTTCTAAGTGTACAAGACTCACCCCCTTGCTTTCTGGGTTTTATCATCTAAGTATGCACCCCGACACACATTGGCCCAGTTGTGCCCATTCTGGTATAAATGGAATTATATGGTGTGTGCTTCTAGGTCAGGCTTCTTTTACACAACACACTATCTATAAGACTCATGTTTGTGGTTGCCCCATTTTCTTTGGAATGAAATCCAACCTACTTTTTTGAGCACCTTTTAGCAAATATGGAGGCATCCTAGGTATCAGCTCTGCACTCCAAGAATTTATAGTCTAGCAGGTGACATGAGATATGCACCCACAGCAAGAGAGGAGAGACAAAAAGAGCTGGTCCCCCCTGCAGGTATGAACTATGGTGTCAGGGTGGAGGAAGAAAAGTTGGCATTTGTCCTTTTCCAAAATTCGATTCCTTTCCTTTCTTTTTTTTTAAGATTTTACTTATTTATTTATGTGAGACAGAGAGAGAGAGAGAGAGGCAGAGACACAGGCAGAGGGAGAAGCAGGCTCCATGCAGGGAGCCCGATGCAGGACTCAATCCCGAGACCCCAGGAGCACATCCTGAGCCAAAGGCAGACACTTAACCTCTGAGCCACCCAGGTGACCCTCGATTCCTTTTCCTCTTGTTTCGAGAAAGAGGTTGCGGTTTGTTTTTCATTGCCAGTAGCACTGCAGCTTCTAGCCTCAAGTCTTCCTAAATCAAGCTGTAGCAATCCATGAGCTAAGGAAAGGAATGGCTAGAGGTAGAAAGCTGGGTGGGGGGAGGGGGCTTGGGGGGCAAGAGGTCAAGAGGTCAGGGACTTGGTGTCTACTAGGTACAGAGCTGCTGTTTGGGGTGATGAAGTTTTGGAAACAGACGGTGGTGGTGGTCTCACAACATTTTGAGCGTACTTAATGCCACTGAACTGGGGCAAATGGGAAATGGCACGTATATTTTGCCAATACCACAAAGAAGAAAGGAGAGGACAGAGGGGAAGTGGGGAGGGCAGCTGTAGGGTGTATGTTCTCACACCTCAGATGGGAGATTCACTCCTCCCCAAACGCATGCAAAGCTGATCAGGAGCCCTAGGGAGACCCAACGGTGACAGGAGGAAGGGAAAAGTGAAGTGATGAGTCTGAGTGTTCAAGCTGAATGAAGGACAAATGGTTAACACAATGAAGGTCTGTCAAGGCCCCACAGACAGGAGACTTTGTGCTGGAGGATGGAGGGACCCCTGCCATATGGCCACTCCAGGTTTCTGGAGAGGAGTTTTCAGCTCACCTCTGCTAACTTCAGGGTCACCCATTCTTTGATCTTTGCAGCTTTCTCTTGGACAACTTTTGCTTCTTCAGCTCTCATCTGCTTCTGCAAGAAATCGAAGGCCTTTAGTTAATCATAGCAGCCTCCAGTAGAGTGAATGACAGGGTTGGGAGGGGGTGGGGGGCCCAGAAGCTCTGAGAAGGAATATCAAGCAACTGGGGGGGGGGTGGCCCAATGGAAAAAAATTCATTTATGAATTTAAAAAATATTCTTAAGGTGGGTGGGAAAAGCCTTCCTAAGCATGCTAAGCATGATACCTATCCTAAAGCCATGAAAGAAAAGACTAATGAATCTATACTGTCATTATAAATTACTATCTGACAAACAAAAGTTCCCTTAAAATCAAAAGCAAACTGGGGGGATGATTTACAACACAAATGACTTACATAAAGAGGGCCAATTTGAAATAAACAAGCCAATAAATACATGCACAAAGAATATGAACAGGAAATCAACAGAAAGAAATAAAGGGAAAGAAACTCATGAAAAGCTGTTCAACCCAACCATAACTTTAAAAATGCCCATAAAAGTCAGACCTCGTTTTTCTTCCATCAGACTAACACAATTTAAAAGTCTGATATCATCCCAAATTGTCAAGGATGTTGGAAAACAATCCCTCTTATGGAAACTGGCAAAGCCTTTTTGGGCAGCAATTTGATAATATCTGCCCGTGTTTTAAATGGCTGACCTAGCAAACTCACTGCTTAGGGATCATGAGTTGCAATATTACTTGATAAAGCAAAAAACCCCAAACCGGACATAACTAAGTGTCCACAAATCGGGGCTTGGCTAAATAAACAAAATGAAAATGGAATGCTGTCCTTTGATACACAAGAAACATTCACAATGAACCCTGGAATGATCTTAAGGTTATCCAGTTTAAGGGGTTTGCACACTGGCCACAATCCAGCCTTCCACCTGGTTCCCAACCCTCCCTCAGCCCCACCTATTTTTATAAATAAAGTTGTCCTGGAACACAGCCATGCCTATTCATTTATGGTATTGTCTAGGGCTACTTTCACGACACCATGGCACAGCCAAAGAGTTGCAACAGAGACCACGTGGCCCACAAAGCCAAAAGTATTTACTATCTGGCCCTTGAGAGAACAAGTTGGCCAACCCCTGACCTAGTCCGATACCCTCCTTATGTGGCTGCAGAAACTGAGGCCCAGAGGGTGAAGTGATTTGCTTCTATCAGTTTGGGCAGCACAGCTGGAACTAAAGCCAGGTGTACCTACTTGTAGAACAGCATTCTTTCTTTTCTGACCTTTTATTATTGTAAAATGTTTCTTTTTTCTAAGTTTTAGCAGGAATCATTGTGCCCACTCATCCCCAGTTGCTGCTACTTCTATGAACCACACAAAAAAGCAGGTAAGGTATCTGGCCACACTGTGAGGTTGCTTGTTGGAAATGATGGTGTCCTGGCACCAGGGGATAACTGGGTAGGTGAGGCCGAGGGCAGAGGGAAGGCACACCATTCGGAAGGAGTTAATGGGACTGTAGAGGGCAGGAGGCCAGGAACTGGCAGAGGGATGTTCCAGATACACTCTCCGGAGCAAAGGGGCTAGCTGAAGCTGGAAGGTTGGGCGGTGGCCTCTCAGCCTCCCGTGTCTCTGCCCCCTCAGGTTCACTGAGAAACTTTGGCCTACCAGCTGATCGAGGCTCACTGTCCAGCTCTGTGCTGCTCTGACACTAAAGGTGTCGTGTCCCACATGTCAACAGGACACAAGGCCAGGGTGGAGGAGGACAAGCTCTCCTTGCCATGTCTGATATTACACAGAGATTACCTGAATGTACTCTCTGGAGAGCCCTAGGGTGTATTATGACCCCTACCTTACAGATGCGTAAAATGCGAATGGGTGACTTATTTGCCTACAGAGAGCAGCGGGTGCTGGGGGTGGGGTGGGGAATCAGACCCAGAAGAAGTCTTGCCTCCAAAGTCCTTTCCCCACTATATCCCCTGCCTAGCCCCTCCTAATGGACCTAACAGTTAAATCACCATGTGAAAGAATAGTCTCATGAGGGAAGGGAGTGAGCTCCCCTCCACAAGCAGAGGGGCTCCATTCAAGAAGCCTGTGGCCAACAGGTGTGGAGGCTGCAGAGGGCAATGGTGCTGCGCTGCACATCAGACCTTACCTGCTTCTCCAGCTGTGCTTCCAGCTGGCTGATGAGCTCATCTTTGCTCTGCATGGCTTTCAGCAATTCTTGGTACTTCTGGTGCAGGCTGCCTCCTGAGTCCACATTCTTCAGATTGGACAGTTTCACCTTCTCCTCCATCACACCCACCTTAAAAGTACCATCATTACATAGGGTTGGCATGGGTGTGTGACATGGCCACTAACCTGCCCTGGGACACTTCCCAATGCCCCAGCCCATGATCCCCAGGCAGAGCCCTCACCCAGAACAGTTGGAGCCAGTTAACTCAATAATCATTTATTAAGCCTCATCTGGGCAAAATAAGGATGTGACAAGGAAGAAACGGTTAGGTACTGGGCCATCTAGCTCGGGGGACCCCAACAGGGTCGAGTTGGGCAGGACAAACAGCCCAGAGAGAAACTGCTTCAGCCTCATGGTGGCAGAGACATCTGCTGCTCACTGAAGGTTCCCTGTGCTTCTCACTCTTCCCCAGCCTCTTGTAGTTAGATGGCCATGGTATTCACTCCAGCCCATGAGTCTGAGTGGAGTGACTCATCATTTCTGGGCTGATGTATTTAAGAGCTCTCTCCTTGCCATGGCAACCAAGGAGGCTGCATGTTCTAGAAGGTCCAGGTAGAAGATGGAGAATTCCATCAGCCTCGATTCCCAAGTCCCTGTAGGAAGTAGAACCCCAGCTAAGCCTCGATGGAGAGGTACCAGGACAGAGAACTGAACGGGATAACCTGTTGAGACCTGTTACCTCAGCGTAACTTGGCCTATTTGAACTAATCCAGCCATCTGCTCATGTACTAACCCTTACCCAAAGACTCCTTCACGCTCAAAGAGAGCTCCATACACCTGAATTAATCTGTTCAGAAGAATGAGACATGACTACTGGTTTTTCTTGTCCCCATGAGGAGCTGGTGAGGGTGATGAGTATGTCTGGGTGTGTTCCTCGGAAGGATCAGGGAAGGCCAATGGCCGTTTCTGCACAGTCCTGCCCATCCGCTGGCCCGTTACCTGGGTCTCTGCGTTCTCTGCTCTCTGCTCTGCCTCCAGCAGCCTCTGCTCCAGCTCCTGCATCTGCTCAACCAGAGAGGAAGGACAAATGTAGGTGGGGTGTCCCTACCACAACCATGGTTCCAGAGCAACATGAGCAAATTGTGCAGACACTCCACACAGCCAGACTTAAACTGCTCATCTCCAGTGGCTCAAAGGTGTCAGGGCAAAGATTTTCATGGCAACCCTCTGCTCCCTTATCCTGAGTTTATGGGGCAGGTGAAGAGCCTAGAGCTGCTGTCCTCTCTGCTGAGTGAGTAAAAGCCTAGTTCTTTCCCCTATGTGTGGGGTGCCTCAGCAGGCAGCACAAACATTCTTCATGAGGCAGTGCTGCCCTGAGCCCTCAGTCTCCTCGGCACCAGGTCCCAGGCAGTGCTTGCCACTGCTCACCACATGCCTGCCATGGAACATGCTCCCACGTGAGCCCCCACCACGTCAGCAGCAAGAGAATGTTCCTTTCCACCCAGGAACAGCTCACTGGCTGGGAACAAATATTTATCCCTTATCAAGGACATCTCTGACTATAAAGGGCATTAACAGGCATCACCTTATTTGATTTATTTAATCTTCAACAGAGAGGCTCAAGACACATTCTTAAAAATTCTATCTTGCTACCAGTAGAGATGTGTCACTTAAGTCTGAGGAGCTGCGTAATTCTGGAATCTTATGCCAACTGGCCCAAGCAAAGGGACCAACGTTCTTACACACGGAGACTCATCAGGGACCAGCTCTAAGCTAAAAGCTAAAGAGATGCTCACGAGCCCACATGGCAGCTTCGCAAGCTCATGGTGACAGAGTGCGGGCTGGATTGCAGTTCCCATCCTCCCCTGGTGGGCGCTGGGCTGCCTGCACGGTGTACGTCATCACACAGAGGCTCTGTGGAAGCCGTCATATACCAATCTCTCCTGCCAGGAGCCCCTTGCCTCCATGTGCCATGTGCCATGTGCCACAGCCCAGTCAGTTACCTGCTTCCCTCCCTACTCTGCCTTACACCAAGGCAACATGTATGCATTAAACATACACTAGAGGCAGAACAGCCCAGCCTCGTCCTCTGTGAGGCTGGACAGGCCTCACCTTCTCAGTTCCAGTCCAGTCTCACCCACTTCATCTCTGCACGTCCGGCCTTTGCTCCAGCTACTCAACCTTCTCTCTTTGGCCTGGACCTGGTTTGATATTTATCAGCGAACCGAGCAATCAATCCCTCCTCTTTTTCCCAATCTCTCATCGGCTCAACTGAAATTTTGCCTTCCCTTCTCGATTAAAGGATGCAGGAGAAGGAGCTCCCCTGTCCGGTGCTGGGCAGTGTGAAAGGAGAGTTCTCTGGAAGGAGTTCATGTTTGAGGACCTGGGGCATGTCTTTGCCTCAGGCCAGCCTTTTCTCATCTACTTTTTCCCTTCTCCTTGGGGCTGGGGAGATACAGATGCTTTCAGCACACATTCCCTATGAAAGGATCTGAGGATCTCAAGTAAAACTCATGATTTACAACTCCTGCGACAAAAACGCCTCCTGGGCTCCCAGTGGACAGGACCACCGCTGATGGGCATTCATGCCCTCAGGCCAAGGGTGCCTACAGCTCTTCTTTCCTTCCTTTCCCGGGTTTCATAATCATGATCAAACCTCTCGACTCAAGCCTGAGAGGGTGGGTTGGTGCTGGCCAGACAGAGGCATCAATTAGAGCCAGATGGCCTTTGATTTCCAAAATCAAATAGTTCTGGAGTCTGGGTTACAGGAATCCCCTGACCTTCAAACAGCTACAGGTAAGGTAAGAGCATAGCATCAGCTGATATTATGATTAAAGAGGTGGCTGCCCAGAGCAACAAGAATTCTACTTAGTTGGAGGGAGGTGTACGTTGACACACAGCAGTGGCTCCCAACGACCAAGTTAGTACTATAAAACCTGTCCTCTTTTGGCACTGGACCTGACTGGGCCAATCAAGTTCTCTGTCCCCAGGAATCTGACATCTGGGATCAAGAGACCAGAGACAAGAATCAGGGGGCTGCATGGGAGATTGTGCACAAACTTCATCAAGTCATGTTAGGTAATTCTTTCATTTCTGTGAGCTGTCCCAGGATCCTCCAAATTAATTCCATTTGCTTAAGCTAGCCAGATTTGTAGTTTCAGCTCCCCTTAGAAATAACTCTAATACAGTTGCTGGGAGCATCTAAAATTTTTTAATAAGATTTATTTATTTATTTGAAAGAGAGAGCATGTGCACAACAAGCAGGAGGGATAGACCAAGAGGGAGAGAGAGAAGCTCAAGCAGACTCTGGGCTCAGCGTAGAACTGAATGTGGGCTCCATTTCCCAACCTGTAGATCATGACCACAGACCCAAAACAAAGAGTTGTATGCCTAACTGACTGTGCCACCCAGGTGCCCTGGAAGCATTTAATTTTTTAAAGAAATACAGCACACAATGAAATGAAATGAAATGAAATGAATACAATGAAATACTGAATAAGAAGGCTTTGGATTCCTGACAAGTTTCCTAGATTAACCTTCAGCTGGACCATTCAGATCTAACATCTGTTCTATAGCTCAGAAGACATAGGATTTCCATAGGAAATGATCATTCATATTCATAACCTTCTGTAACAACTGTCTGGTATTTTCAAACTTCTGATAGAAAAACTTGTCTTCTAGTTTATGGATGGAGAAACCAAGGTCGAGTGAAGAATAGAATTGTATTTGAGTCCTACTGCTCAGCTGGGCATACCCACTGGGTGAAGAGTGGTCAAGGCTGGAAATCACTCTGTTATTGACAACACAGTGAGCATTTTTTTCCTGCAAGAATTTTGCTACTAGACATCCCTTTAAAGTATGCTATCCCTGAAGCAAATGGAAAGGAACGCACTTTCCATCGCCTGGGGTCTCCACCCTGTCTGGGCTGGCTGCCACGGGGTCCCCATACTCCTGCCAATCCTCCAGCTGTTCTTATCTTCCCAGCAGGGATACTCAAAACTCAAAGCATTTTGTATTCGCCTTTATTCTGGAGTATTTTTTCCCCTCTAAAACTAATTTCTGAGCACTGAAAACGTTCTGGACATCTGGAACGTTTTTAAGAGAAGAGTGTAATGACCATCTATGTATCCATCACTATTCTCCAAAAATTACCAACATCCTGTCATCCTTGTTTGAAAAGAATTATTTTTAATATTAGTTTTCCCTTTCTTTTTATAAAAGCGCATTTTCTCCACTGCCCTGGGAGTACTCCAGGTATGTCTATGCTGGAATGTCATTTTTAGAGTTTTCAGACTTCATTTAATGCCACCTTTTCAAGATGGCAGACTGTTCTTTACACTTGTATACGGGGCCACCCCTTCTTTGAGCTTCTCCTCTGAGTGGGTTCCCTAGTACCATGTCCTCAGCTGTCCTTTGAGTCTGTGGGCCTTGGGTGATGCACTAGCCAAGGAGGTGTCAGGTTCGGGCAGATGGCCTTGAGGCGGATCCACTCTCACCAGCTGTGATCGGCACAGGAGACTCATAAATAAGCGGCCCTGGCACTGGCCGCAGCGACCTGATGACATGCGCTTGGTGCCAACCTGGTGTTTAATCTCCGTGTCCACAGCTCCTCGTTACACTCACAATGCTGTGAAATGGCAGCACCATGGCAGCAACTGTGGTGGACACTCTCTTGCACTCCCAGCACAGTCCCGTGTGTTGAGCTGTGGCCTGAACCAAGCACCACACTTGCTGGGGCTCAGCTGTCCTTTGAAAAAGGGATTCAACATTCTTACCACTGCTTTGCACTCACCCCAGAGACCGGTAGAGGGAAGCACTAAGGGTTGAACCTGACTGGCTCTGCCACAGTGTGGCTTTAGGGTAAGTTCCTTAACTGCTCTGTGCCTCAGTTTCCTCACCAGGAGAAAAAAGAGTAATGAGTCTTCACCTCTGACAGTTGCTGGGAACATTACATGAAGTGGCTCATGTTGTTTTGTTTTGTTTTAAGATTTTATTTATTTATTCATGATAGAGAGACAGAGAGAGGCAGAGACACAGGCAGAGGGAGAAGCAGGCTCCATGCAGGGAGCCCGATGTGGGACTCGATCCCGGGACTCCAGGATCGTGCCCTGGGTCAAAGGCAGGCGCCAAACCGCTGAGCCACCCAGGGATCCCCCCATGAAGTGGCTCATGTAAAGCTCACGTGTACTGTGTGGCCCTTACTGAGCCATTTACAGTAAGCTACTTGTTGGTTTCTCATATACAGAGATGATGCTTTTGCCTGGGACAGTCTGGTGTTCACCTGTTGTCCCACAATAATTACTAACAGAGCTTTCTTTTCTCCCTCTAGAGTGTCTTGGGTTAGATGGTAAATCATATGGTTATCTGACTTATGATCCACCTACAGCAAGAATGGCTTCAAGTCAGAGGCCGCCAACTATCGTCTACAGGGTGTCTTGTAGGATACCCCCTTAGGGGTATTTAGGTGACAGATAGAACAAGACCACTCACTGCATGTCTGGCACTGGCTTAAACACTTACACGTATTGACTCATTTAATCTTCATCCCAATAGGAGGGAGCAAGTACTACCAATAGCCCTGTTGTGTATATAAGGAAATTGATGTAGAGGGGTTGGGTAACTTACCTAACAGGTCACATGGCTGAGAGGCAGAACTCAGGAGGGCTGGCTCCAGAGTCTAACTATACTGGTAGCCACTGCGCCTCTCATATGCAAATCTCAGTAAAAACTGAGATTCCACACACAATCCTTGGCTCCTAGCTTCCCTTGAAAACTCAGACCTGGACATGCTAGGGTTACATTTTCTTATGGCTATAAGTGGCCTTCTTGTCTAGCTCTAGCACATTCCCAAAACCCACCTGTCTCACCTCTGTAAGTTAACCTGCAAGCATCTGAGTAGCAGCCTCCAGTTTCAGCTATTAAATGGTTATCTCTGTTATAAAGACAGTGGCTTTCAAACTTATTTTTTTCCCTAGATCTTTTGTTTAATTAAAATCCTATGTTTAGTCCCAAATATATAAAATACAGCACCATGAGACGCCCTAGTGTCTGACTACAGATAA